CACCTTTTTTCTTTTCTTTTTTTCTTTCTTTTCGCTTTTCTTTTATTCTTTCTTTTTCTTTATTTTTCTTTTATTTTTCTTTTCTTTTTATTCTTTCTTTTTTCTTTTTCTTTCTTTTTCTCTTTTCTTCTTTCTTTTCTTTTCTTTTCTTCTTTCTTTTCTTTTCTTCTTTCTTTTCTTCTTTCTTCTCTTTTTTCTTTTTCTTTTTTCTTTTCTTTTTCTTCTTTTCTTCTTTTTCTTTTCTTCTTTCTTCTTTTCTTCTTTCTTCTTTTCTTCTTTTTTCTTTTCTTTTCTCTTTTTCTTCTTTTCTTTTCTCTTTTCTTTTCTCCTTTCTTTTTTTTCTATTAAATGGCTCATTTTAGAAAGCACAGTGGCTACGTGGTTAGCACTTCCGCCTAGCTGCACGAGGATTGTCTGGTCGAATCCCAACTACCTGCATGTGCCTGCATTGGTTTCCTCCCACACTCCAGACATGCTGGGAGGTGAATTGGTTCCTGTCTGTATTGGCCCCTAGTATGTGTATGATTGGGGCCCTTAGATTGTGCGTCCCTCAAGGGTTAGGGACTGATTGGAATGTACAGTATATGCAGGGCTTTTATTCACTGGGGGGGGGGGGGGAATCGGGTTCCGCCACCTCCAGCACTGAATTGGGTGCTGGGGGTATGTTTGGAGGGTCTATTGTATCTGGGGGGAGGGGGATTATTTGTAGCTGAGGAGGTCCGTTGTTGCTGGGAATGGGGGGGGAGGGGGGGATGGAATCTTGTTGCTAGGAAGGTTTCCCTGTTGATGGAGGGGTGTATTGTTGCTGGCTTCTGGAGGGTTTCTGATGCTGGTTGTTGGGAGATCTATTATATTGTTTCTCGGGGATCTATTGTTGCTTGGGAGTCAATTGTTGCTAGGAAGGATCTACTGTTGATGGGTCTACTGTCACTGGATTCTGGAGGGTTTCTGATGCTGGCGGTTGTAGATCTATTGTAATGTTACTGATGGGGAAGGAGGTTGGTTTGTCAGGGGTTATTGCTGGGGGGATCTGTTGTTTGTCAGGGATCTGTTGTTTGTCAGGGATCTGGGGATCTATTTGTCAGGGATTGGCTACAGGGGATTGTTTGCTTTGGTGGATGGGGGGGCGGAGTCGAGGGGTGACTTGGGGTGACCTTTTCTCTGAGGGGGAAAAAATAGTCCCTGAATGTCTGTAAAGCTGCGTAAATGGATTTCACTACAGAAATACCTGAAATAGATAATAAATCGGCTTCTAGAAAAGACTTGATTGGCACGGAATCTGATTGTAATCGATACTTTGTGACACTAACGGGATCATCCCAGCAACCCTGATAAGTCCTGATTCACTTAGTGTTACCATCCCCGAACCCCGCGTTCGCTATATCCGCTCTCCCCGGACCCCCGTTCGCTATATCCGCTCTCCCCGGGGCCCCGCTGTTCGCTATATCCGCTCTCCCCGGGCCCCGCGTTCGCTATATCCGCTCTCCCCGGGCCCCGCGTTCGCTATATCCGCTCTCCCCGGGCCCCGCGTTCGCTATATCCGCTCTCCCCGGGCCCCGCGTTCGCTATATCCGCTCTCCCCGGGCCCCGCGTTCGCTATATCCGCTCTCCCCGGGCCCCGCGTTCGCTATATCCGCTCTCCCCAGGCCCCGCGTTCGCTATATCCGCTCTCCCCGTGCCCGCGTTCGCTATATCCGCTCTCCCCGGGCCCCGCGTTCGCTATATCCGCTCTCCCCCCGGGGCCCCGCGTTCGCTATATCCGCTCTCCCGGGCCCGCGTTCGCTATATATATCGCTCTCCCCGGGCCCCGCGTTCGCTATATCCGCTCTCCCCGGGCCCGCGTTCGCTATATCCGCTCTCCCCGGGCCCCGCGTTCGCTATATCCGCTCTCCCCGGGCCCGCGTTCGCTATATCCGCTCTCCCCGGGCCCCGCGTTCGCTATATCCGCTCTCCCCGGGCCCCGCGTTCGCTATATCCGCTCTCCCCGGGCCCCTTGTTCGCTATATCCGCTCTCCCCGGGCCCCGCGTTCGCTATATCCGCTCTCCCCGGGCCCCCGCAGAACATGGAAATTATTTATGGAAGTATATCTCAGTTATATCTCAGGGGGGGGGGGGAAGTGTCGGACTGGAAGGGAGGGGGGGGGGGGGGGGAAGTGTCGGGACTGAAAGGGAGGGGGGGGGGGGGGGGGAAGTGTCGGGACTGGAAGGGAGGGGGGGGGGAAGTGTCGGGACTGGAAGGGAGGGGGGGGGGGGGAAGTGTCGGGACTGGGAGGGAGGGGGGGGGGGGGGGGGGAAGTGTCGGGACTGGGAGGGAGGGGGGGGGGGGGGGAAGTGTCGGGACTGGGAGGGAGGGGGGGGGGGGGGGGAAGTGTCGGGACTGGGAGGGAGGGGGGGGGGGGGAAGAGTCGGGACTGGGAGGGAGGGGGGGGGGGGAAAGTGTCGGGACTGGGGAGGGGTAGGGGGGGGGGGGAAGTGTCGGGACTGGGAGGGGGGGGGGGGGGGAAGTGTCGGGACTGGAAGGGAGGGGGGGGGGGGGGGGGCGACGCGAAAGTGTCGGGACTGGAAGGGAGGGGGGGGGGGAAGCGTCGGGGACTGGAAGGGAGGGGGGGGGGGGACGGAAGCGTCGGGACTGGCATGGGATAACGAATTGAACGCATTCAGAAACGCGGTTTTGGTGTTTATGAATGCTTTCAGGAGCAGAAGAGGGGATTTATTGACCCCGAGATCCCTCCATAAAGAGGACCTGTCACTGTCTATTTCTGTCACAGGGGATGTTTTTACATTAAATAAAAGTAGAAAAAAAAAGTTAAAAAAATGAAAGCGACCAATAATAATAAAAATGAAATCGTGCGTTCACTTTGTGGCGCTCAGATACAGATGTGTTCCGCTTTAATGAACTTCCCTTTTTTTTTTTTTGTTTTCCTCTGTATTAATATAGTGCAAGTTCACCTTTTTTCACAAAAAAAAAAAAAGATAAATATGAACGAATGCTGTAGACCAGGGCTCGACAAATCCCCAGGCGCCAGGTTGCCATGGCGATCAGTAATTGCATCCTGGCGCCTGTGTTCACATATCACCTCCCGTGCGCTGCAGTGCGAAGGCTCCCCCTCCCACCCAGCCTGCAGTGCAAAGGCGTCCCGTACGGCCTGCAGTGCCCTCCCACCTGGGCGCCCCCTCCTGTACGGCCTGCAGCGCAAAGGTGCCCCCTCCCGTGGGCTTCAGCCCTCCCACACGGGCTGCAGTGCAAAGTCGCCCCCATAGACTGATAGGGGGTGCATGTTGTTGTTTGTGTTTTTTTTTTTGTATTTTTTTAATCTCCTGATTGCGCTTTGGTCCTGCACCGCCATTTTTTTTTGCTGTGACATCATCAATAGGCTGCCAGCTTCTTCAGGGTACAGCCAGCATGCCTTCCGATGCTGCGCCAAAAGGACCACCCACTCCCCTCTTCCCCTCCTCCTGGGATATGTGAGGTGCATCTCCCCGAAGGCAAAGGGAGCAGAGTAGACGCCATTTTCCTAGGAGAATGGCGTGCAGTGGGGGGGAGGGGGAACGAGATTGTGTGTATGAAGCAGGACTGTTATCAGTTAGCATTTCTCCCTGTTATCTCCGTGGACTACAAAACACCTCCCCATTTTACGGTGAAGCACAGTGCTCATCTGAATGCCACACCAAGTTTGGAGGTCTCTAGCTATTGACTCAGCAGACAGTTGGTGACTTCTGCTCACTCCAGAGAACACGTCCTCCTCTGCTCTAGGGTCCAGTGGCGGCGTGCTTTACACCCAGACGGCAATCCGACGCTTTGCATTGCACTTGGTGATGGAAGGCTCAGATGCAGCTGCTCGGCCATGGAAACCCATTCCATGAAGCTCTCTACGCAATGTTGTTGGGCTCATCTGAAGGCCACACCGAGTTTGGAGGTCTTTAGCTATTGACTCTGCAGACAGTTGGTGACTTCTGCGCACTGTGCGCTTCAGCATGCGCTGACCCCGCTCTGTCATGTGACGTGGCCTACCACTTGGTGGCTGAGTGGCTGTTGTTCCCAGTTGCTTCCACTTTGTTATAATCCACTAACAGTTGAGCGTGGAATATTTAGTAGCCAGGAAATGTCACGGATGGACTTATTGCCAGGTGGCCACCTATCACGGGACCACGCTTGGAGTCACTGAGCTCTGAGAGCGACCCATTTTTTCACCAATGTTTGTAGAAGCAGTCTGCATGCTAGGGGCTTGATTGTATACACTGTGTCACATGGAGGGGATTGGAACACCTGAATCACATGATTGATCTGGAGGGGATTGGAACGCCTGAATCACATGATTGATCTGGAGGGATTGGAACGCATGAATCACATGATTGATCTGGAGGGGATTGGAATGCCTGAATCACGTGGTCTGGAGGGGATTGGAACGCCTGAATCGGGTGGTCTGGAGGGGGATTGGAACGCCTGAATCGGGTGGTCTGGAGGGGGATTGGAACGCCTGAATCGGGTGGTCTGGAGGGGGATTGGAACGCCTGAATCGGGTGGTCTGGAGGGGGATTGGAACGCCTGAATCGGTGGTCTGGAGGGGGATTGGAACGCCTGAATCGGGTGGTCTGGAGGGGGATTGGAACGCCTGAATCGGGTGGTCTGGAGGGGGATTGGAACGCCTGAATCGGGTGGTCTGGAGGGGGATTGGAACGCCTGAATCGGGTGGTCTGGAGGGGGATTGGAACGCCTGAATCGGGTGGTCTGGAGGGGGATTGGAACGCCTGAATCGGGTGGTCTGGAGGGGGATTGGAACGCCTGAATCGGGTGGTCTGGAGGGGGATTGGAACGCCTGAATCGGGCGATATGGAGGGGGATTGGAACGCCTGAATGAAATCGGGCGATATGGAGGGGGATTGGAACGCCTGAATCGGGCGATATGGAGGGGGATTGGAACGCCTGAATCGGGCGATATGGAGGGGGATTGGAACGCCTGAATCGGGCGATATGGAGGGGGATTGGAACGCCTGAATCGGGCGATATGGAGGGGGATTGGAACGCTGAATCGGGCGATATGGAGGGGGATTGGAACGCCTGAATATCGGGCGATATGGAGGGGGATTGGAACGCCTGAATCGGCGATATGGAGGGGGATTGGAACGCCTGAATCGGGCGATATGGGGGGGATTGGAAACGCCTGAATCGGGCGATATGGAGGGGGATTGGAACGCCTGAATCGGGCGATATGGAGGGGGATTGGAACGCCTGAATCGGGCGATATGGAGGGGGATTGGAACGCCTGAATCGGGCGATATGGAGGGGGATTGGAACGCCTGAATCGGGCGATATGGAGGGGGATTGGAACGCCTGAATCGGGCGATATGGAGGGGGATTGGAAACGCCTGAATCGGGCGATATGGAGGGGGATTGGAACGCCTGAATCGGGCGATATGGAGGGGGATTGGAAGCGCCTGAATCGGGCGATATGGAGGGGATTGGAAACGCCTGAATCGGGCGACGATATGGAGGGGGATTGGAACGCCTGAATCGGGCGATATGGAGGGGGATTGGAACGCCTGAATCGGGCGATATGGAGGGGGATTGGAACGCCTGAATCGGGCGATATGGAGGGGGATTGGAACGCCTGAACTCGGGCGATATGGAGGGGGATTGGAATCGCCTGAATCGGGCGATATGGAGGGGGATTGGAACGCCTGAATCGGGGCGATATGGAGGGGGATTGGAACGCCTGAATCGGGCGATATGGAGGGGGATTGGATACGCCTGAATCGGGCGATATGGGGGGGGATTGGAACTGCCTGAATCGGGCGATATGGAGGGGGATTGGAACGCCTGAACTCGGGGATATGGAGGGGGATTGAACGCCTGAATCGGGCGATATGGAGGGGGATTGGAACGCCTGAATCGGGCGATATGGAGGGGGATTGGAACGCCTGAACTCGGGCGATATGGAGGGGGATTGGAACGCCTGAATCGGGCGATATGGAGGGGGATTGGAACGCTGAAATCGGGCGATATGGAGGGGGATTGGAACGCCTGAATTCGGGCGATATGGAGGGGGATTGGAACGCCTGAATTTCGGGCGATATGGAGGGGGATTGGAACGCCTGAATCGGGCGATATGGAGGGGGATTGGAACGCCTGAATGGGCGATCATGGAGGGGGATTGGAACGCCTGAAGAGTCGGGCGATATGGAGGGGGGATTGGAACGCCTGAACTCGGGCGATATGGAGGGGGGATTGGAACGCCTGAATCCGGGCGATATGGAGGGGGATTGGAACGCCTGAAACTCGGGCGATATTGGAGGGGGATTGGAACGCCTGAATCGGGCGATATGGAGGGGGATTGGAACGCCTGAATCGGGTGATAGGGAGGCCGGGGAGAATACTCTGGGTAATATAGTTGGTGTGTGGTTCTCTTTTATCTCACGATATGAAGGTATATACATACAAGTAGTACTGTAGTCCACTCCCATACTCTTGGATCCGGGATTTCTCACACATGCGGAGACAGATCAGATGATCGTTTTTTTTTTTTTTTTTTTTTTCCCCCCCCTCCAGCCTTTATTCCCTCCCCCCAAAAAAATCGTGATCTCACAGAAATCTGCCGTATCGTACATCCTATGTGATCGAATGACAGGTGTGAGATCAAAAATAGCACAGGGGGGAGTATTTACACCAACCATATGCCGTATCTCACTTCCATCTGAGAGGCGGAGGTTTCCTTCGATGGTTTTTTTTTTTGTCTTTTGTTTCTTTTTCTGGTAGATGAAATCTAGTCACTGTGATGTCTGAGAATAACCATCAGCCAGGTGTAGAAATGGTTGTGTTTTGGCTCCCTCCGGCCTGTGCGTTTGTGGGAATCTGATACATACGACTATAGTCCCTGGCAATAATCGTATGTAAAAATCTGACCTGCTGATTTTACCCAAGTTGATCGATGGATCAATTTTGGTACAATCTGCTTGTCTATAGATGGTCGACTTGGGTACAATGAGCTTGCCCATCAGTGGTCGCCTTGGGTACAATGAGCTTGCCCGTCAGTGGTCGCCTTGGGTACAATGAGCTTGCCCGTCAGTGGTCGCCTTGGGTACAATGAGCTTGCCCGTCAGTGGTCGCCTTGGGTACAATGAGCTTGCCCGTTCAGTGGTCGCCTTGGGTACAATGAGCTTGCCCGTCAGTGGTCGCCTTGGGTACAATGAGCTTGCCCGTCAGTGGTCGCCTTGGGTACAATGAGCTTGCCCCGTCAGTGGTCGCCTTGGGTACAATGAGCTTGCCGTCAGTGGTCGCCTTGGGTACAATGAGCTTGCCCCAGATGGTCACCTTGGGTACAGTGAGCTTGCCCCTTAGATGGTCACCTTGGGTACAGTGAGCTTGCCCCTAGATGGTCACCTTGGGTACAATGAGCTTGCCCGTCAGTGGTCGCCTTGGGTACAATGAGCTTGCCCGTCAGTGGTCGCCTTGGGTACAATGAGCTTACCCCAAGATGGTCACCTTGGGTACAATGAGCTTGCCCCTAGATGGTCACCTTGGGTACAATGAGCTTGCCCCTAGATGGTCGACTTGGGTAGAATGAGCTTACCCCTAGATGGTCGACTTGGGTACAATGAGCTTACCCACTAGATCAGTGGTTCTTAACCTTGTTGGAGGTACTGAACCCCACCAGTTTCATATGCGCATTCACCGAACCCTTCTTAATTGGAAAAATAAAATATGATTTTTAAAATTCAAAACATAGGTATATATTTATACATAGGTGCACAAAATGAACAAAACCGTTAAGAACAAAGAACAAAACCATTAAAACTTGATTTTCACACAAAAACATAATAATGAATATTTACTGCACGAATCATATGAGTCGGGTGTGGGTCTTCACCTCCGCCGAACCCGCGAGACTGACTCACTGAACCCCTGAGGTTCGATCGAACCCAGGTTAAGAACCACTGCCCTAGATGATCGACTTGGGTAGAATGAGCTTACCCCTAGATGATCAACTTGGGTAGAATGAGCTTTGCCCCAAGATGGTCGCCTTGGGTTAGAATGAGCTTGCCCCAAGATGGTCGCCTTGGGTAGAATGAGCTTGCCCAAGATGGTCGCCTTGGGTAGAATGAGCTTGCCCCAAGATGGTCGCCTTGGGTAGAATGAGCTTGCCCCAAGATGGTCGCCTTGGGTAGAATGAGCTTGCCCCAAGATGGTCGCCTTGGGTAGAATGAGCTTGCCCCAAGATGGTCGCCTTGGGTAGAATGAGCTTGCCCCAAGATGGTCGCCTTGGGTAGAATGAGCTTGCCCCAAGATGGTCGCCTTGGGTTAGAATGAGCTTGCCCCAAGATGGTCGCCTTGGGTAGAATGAGCTTGCCCCAAGATGGTCGCCTTGGGTAGAATGAGCTTGCCCCAAGATGGTCGCCTTGGGTAGAATGAGCTTGCCCCAAGATGGTCGCCTTGGGTAGAATGAGCTTGCCCCAAGATGGTCGCCTTGGGTAGAATGAGCTTGCCCCAAGATGGTCGCCTTGGGTAGAATGAGCTTGCCCCAAGATGGTCGCCTTGGGTAGAATGAGCTTGCCCCAAGATGGTCGCCTTGGGTAGAATGAGCTTGCCCCAAGATGGTCGCCTTGGGTAGAATGAGCTTGCCCCAAGATGGTCGCCTTGGGTAGAATGAGCTTGCCCCAAGATGGTCGCCTTGGGTAGAATGAGCTTGCCCCAAGATGGTCGCCTTGGGTAGAATGAGCTTGCCCCAAGATGGTCGCCTTGGGTAGAATGAGCTTGCCCAAGATGGTCGCCTTGGGTAGAATGAGCTTGCCCCAAGATGGTCGCCTTGGGTAGAATGAGCTTACCCCTAGATGGTCGCCTTGGGTACAATGAGCTTGCCCCTAGATGGTCGCCTTGGGTACAATGAGCTTGCCCCTAGATGGTCGCCTTGGGTACAATGAGCTTGCCCCTAGATGGTCGCCTTGGGTACAATGAGCTTACCCTTAGATGGTTGGACTTGGGTACAATGAGCTTACCCATCAGTGGTCGCCTTGGGTACAGTGAGCTTGCCCATCAGTGGTCGCCTTGGGTACAGTGAGCTTGCCCATCAGTGGTCGCCTTGGGTACAGTGAGCTTGCCCATCAGTGGTCGCCTTGGGTACAGTGAGCTTGCCCTAGATGGTCGACTTGGGTAGAATGAGCTTGCCCATCAGTGGTCGCCTTGGGTACAATGAACTTACTCTTAGATGGTTGGACTTGGGTACAATGAGCTTACCCCTAGATGGTCGACTTGGGTACAATGAGCTTACCCCTAGATGGTCGACTTGGGTACAATGAGCTTACCCCTAGATGGTCGACTTGGGTACAATGAGCTTACCCCTAGATGGTCGACTTGGGTACAATGAGCTTACCCTAGATGGTCGCCTTGGGTACAATGAGCTTACCCTTAGATGGTTGGACTTGGGTACAATGAGCTTGCCCATCAGTGGTCGCCTTGGGTACAGTGAGCTTGCCCATCAGTGGTCGCCTTGGGTACAGTGAGCTTGCCCATCAGTGGTCGCCTTGGGTACAGTGAGCTTGCCCATCAGTGGTCGCCTTGGGTACAGTGAGCTTGCCCATCAGTGGTCGCCTTGGGTACAGTGAGCTTGCCCATCAGTGGTCGCCTTGGGTACAGTGAGCTTGCCCATCAGTGGTCGCCTTGGGTACAGTGAGCTTGCCCTTAGATGGTCGACTTGGGTACAGTGAGCTTGCCCCTAGATGGTCGACTTGGGTTACAGTGAGCTTGCCCCTTGATGGTCGACTTGGGTAGAATGAGCTTGCCCATCAGTGGTCGCCTTGGGTACAATGAGCTTGCCCCAAGATGCTAGACTTGGGTACAATCAGCTTGCCCATCGGTGGTTCGAATCTTTGGCTGATCCCTGCTGAACCAGTCTATTGCCGACTTAAAGCTCCTCTCTAAGCAGAAGTGGTCGTTGACGCCTAACATATCTCCCCACCCTACTTATCTTCTGTTTCAGACTTAACAATTTGTTGTGGTTTTTTTTTTGGACTCTATGATGTCATCACAGGGTGTCCTACTGATCTTGGCTTTTCTTTTCCAAAAATTTTTATTGAAGGTTTCACGGAAAATACAAAACTAAGACCTACACATTTGAAAATCGTTCTGCTATAGACGGATGTCAGAGAGTACAGCATGTTTAATACAGTTACAGCATGTAATACACAAGGCAGCAAAGTCTGGACCAAGTATGACCCCCCCCCCCCCCCCCCCCGAGAGCCTGCAACTGAAACCAAGCCATCGGCGGAAGCTTTCCATATCCATAATAAACCTCCACCCAACACCCCTTATACAGGAAAAGCGTTATTTGCTCCCCGGCTGATGTTGAATGTTCGCCCCTCACACACAGAATATGATCGGTCTAACAATGGAATGTTCGGTGTAAACACTGAGAGACAGAATACAACAACAAATTCAGCAGAAATGCGTCTAACAAATGATGACGGATCTGCATGTTCATGAGGGAAATAAGGATTTGATCCCCTTCACAAAACATGACTTAGTACTTGGTGGCAAATCCCTTGTTGGCAATCACAGAGGTCAGACGTTTCCTGGAGTTGGCCCCCAGGTTCGCACACATCTCAGGAGGGATTTTGGCCCACTCCTCTTGGCAGATCCTCTCCAAGTCATTAAGGTTTGGTGGCTGACGTTTGGCAACTCGAACTTTCAGCTCCCTCCCAGATTTTCAATCGGATGAAGGTGTGTGGGAGACTGGCTAGGCCACTCCAGGACATTAATGTGCTTCTTCTTGAGCCGCTCCTTTGTTGCCTTGGCCGTGTGTTTTGGGTCATTGTCATGCTGGAACACCATCCATGACCCATTTTTCAATGCCCTGGCTGAGGAAGAAGGTTCTCACCCAAGATTTGATGGTACATTGCCCCGCCATTGTCCCTTTGATGCGGTGCAGTTGTCCTGTCCCCCTTAGCAGAAAAAACACCCCCAAAGCAGAAATGTTTCCTAATCCACATGTTTCACAGTTGGGATGGTGTTTTTGGGGTCACAGGCAGCATTCCTCCTACCACCAAACACGGCGAGTTGAGAGTGTTGATGCCAAAGAGCTGGATTTTGGTCTCCTCTGACCACAACACTTCCCACCAGTCCTCCTCTGCATCATTCAGATGTTCAGTAGCAGACTTCAGATGGGCCTGGGACATGGGCTTTTCTTGAGCAGAGGGACCTTGCGGCACTGCAGGATTTCAGTCCTTGTCGGCGTAGTGTGTTACCAATTGTTTTCTTGGTGACTGTGGTCCCAGCTGCCTGGAGATCATTGACAAGTCCTCACGTGTAGTTCTGGGATGATTCCTCACTGTTCTCATGATCATTGACACTCCACGAGGTGAGATCTTGCATGGTGCACCAGACCTAGGGAGACTGACACTTGTTTTGTGTTTCTTCCCCATTTGTGAATGATTGCACCAACTGTTGTCAATCCTTCTCACCAAGCTGCTTGGCCATAGTTTGGTAGCCCAGTCCAGCCTTGTGTAGGTCTACCATCTTGTCCCTGACATCCTTGGACAGCTCTTTGGTCTTTGCCATGGTGGAGAGTTTGGAATCTGATGGTTTGATGGCTCCTGTGGACAGGTGTCTTTATACAGGTAACACAATGAGATTAGCAGCACTCCCTTTAAGAGACTGCTTCTAATCTCAGCTTGTTACCTGTTATGAGAGACACCTGGGAGCCAGAAATCCTGCTGAATGATAGGGGATCAAAATCCTTATTTCCTCTCATGAACATGCAGATCCGTCATCATTTGTTAGATGCAATTTCTGCTGAATTTGTTGTTGTATTCTGTCTCTCAGTGTTACAATACACCGAACATTCGATTTGTAGACCGAATCATTTCTTTGTGAGGGGCGGACGAACATTCACCATCAGCAGGGGATGAAAACGCTTTTCCTTCATTGTATAGGGGGTGTTGCGTGGATCTGTGCCGCAAGGATGTCCCGATATGACCGCTGTGAGCCAGGCATAGCTGGAGTATGAGCCGTCGTTTCTATGGATACATCTGATGGGAACCATTTTATTGTGTAAAAAGTGAATTGAAACATTTAATAACGGCTGCAAATAGACGAGCAGATCTTTCTAACGTTTTTTTATGTAGTTGATAAATCTTCACAAATTATTTTTTTTTTATCATTCTCCAGGACTGGCAGCCACCATTTGCAGTTGAAGTGGATAACTTTCATTTCACCCCTCGCATTTCAGAGACTCAATGAACTGGAGGTAAGCATCTAACGCTGAGGGCTTGTTGGTAGTGGTGCACTGAAATGAAAATTCTGGTGACCAAAATTCAAAATGCACTTGGCTGAAACCGAAATGCGCAGTTTTTAAAAATGAATATATATTTTTTTGAAAAAATAAAATACAGATTTAAAAAAAAAAAAAAAAAATATAAAAAAAAAATATATATATATATATTTGTATATATATTATATATATATATATATATGTATCTCATCTCTATCCCTCTTTCATATTTTACAAAAAAAAATTGGATGTTACGGCGAGTAAATAGATATCCAACATGTCACGCTTTAAAATTGCGCACGCTCGTGGACCACTCTCCCCTCCCGTTGGCGCCAGGGACGGGCCCACTCTCCCCTCCCGTTGGCGCCAGTGAAAAAAAATACTGATTTAAAAAAAAAACTATATACCGTATTTTTCGCTCATAAGACGCACCTAGGTTTTAGAGGGGAAAAAAAAAAATATTCTGAACCAATGAACTGCGGACACAGTACAGGGGATGACCAGGAACTGCGGACACAGTACAGGAGATGACCAGGGACTGCGGACACGGTACAGGAGATGACCAGAGACTGCGGACACGGTACAGGAGATGACCAGAGGACTGCGGACACGTACAGGAGATGACCAGAGACTGCGGACACAGTACAGGAGATGACCAGAGACTGCGGACACAGTACAGGAGATGACCAGAGACTGCGGACACGGTACAGGAGATGACCAGAGACTGCGGACACAGTACAGGAGATGACCAGAGACTGCGGACACGGTACAGGAGATGACCAGAGACTGCGGACACGGTACAGGAGATGACCAGAGACTGCGGACACGGTACAGGAGATGACCAGGGAGTGCGGACACGGTACAGGAGATGACCAGAGACTGCGGAAACGGTACAGGAGATGACCAGAGACTGCGGACACGGTACAGGAGATGACCAGAGACTGCGGACACAGTACAGGGGATGACCAGAGACTGCGGACACAGTACAGGGGATGACCAGAGACTGCGGACAGTACAGGAGAAGACCAGAGACTGCGGACACAGTACAGGGGATGACCAGAGACTGCGGACACAGTACAGGAGATGACCAGAGACTGTGGACACAGTACAGGAGAAGACCAGAGACTGTGACACAGTACAGGGGATGACCAGAGACTGCGGACACAGTACAGGGGATGACCAGAGACTGCGGACACAGTACAGGGGATGACCAGAGACTGCGGACACAGTACAGGGGATGAGCGGAGACTGCGGACACAGTACAGGGGATGAGCGGAGACTGCGGACACAGTGCAGGGGATGAGCGGAGACTGCGGACACAGTGCAGGGGATGAGCGGAGATCTGCGGACACAGTGCAGGGGATGAGCGGAGACTGCGGACACAGTGCAGGGGATGAGCGGAGACTGCGGACACAGTGCAGGGGATGAGCGGAGACTGCGGACACAGTGCAGGGGATGAGCGGAGACTGCGGACACAGTGCAGGGGATGAGCGGAGACTGCGGACACAGTGCAGGGGATGAGCGGAGACTGCGGACACAGTGCAGGGGATGAGCGGAGACTGCGGACACAGTGCAGGGGATGAGCGGAGACTGCGGACACAGTGCAGGGGATGAGCGGAGACTGCGGACACAGTGCAGGGGATGAGCGGAGACTGCTGACCTTTGGGGAGGGAGAGGGAACGGGTACCTGAATTTGACAGGTAGCCGCTCCCACTTCCGCGGAGTTGTCCTTCCTTCTTTCTTCCCGGGCCGGCTTCTGTGACAGCTGGGTGCCCACTGCGCATGCGCGAGAAGCGCTGCGCTTTGTGAATGGCCCGGCGCCTTCTGGGACCTATCATGTGTCCCAGAAGACACCGGATCATTCACAAAGCGCAGCACATGCGCAGTGGGCACCCGGCTGTCACAGAATCCAGCGCGGGAAGACTGTGCAGCGCTGGAGAGAGGAACAGGTAAGGCCCTGCAGGAGAGAAGAGCTGAGCGGCCGGCCCGGTATTCTGACATGGTGGCGGCAGAAATACCGGACCGGCCGCTTTATATTCGCTCCACTAAGACGCACTGACATTTTCCCCCCTTTTTTGGGGGGAAAAAAAAGTGTCTTATGGAGCGAAAAATACGGTACCTCAATTTTTTTGTAAAATATGAAAGAGGATGTTACGGCGAATAAATAGAGACTCAACATGTCGCACATTAAAATTGCGTACACTCGTGGCCTGCTCTCCCCTCCCGCTGGCGCCAGGGATGGGGGGGGCCCGCTGTCCCCTCCTGCGGCCCGCCAGGGACGGGGGCCGCTGTCCTCTTCCGCTGATGCCAGTGAAAAAAATACTGATTTTAAAAAACGCACGCTCGTGGACCACTCTCCCCTCCGGCTGGCGCCAGTGAAAATAAATACTCTTATTTAAAAAACAAAAAAAAAAAAAAACTATATATACCCCAATTTTTTTTTTTTCTTTGTAAAATATGAGGATGTTTATGGCGAGTAAAATAGATACCCACATGTCAAACTTTAAAATTGCGCACGCTCGTGGACCACTCTCCCCTACCGCTGGCGCCAGGGACGGGGGACCTGCTGTCCCCTTCCCGCGGCCGCCAGGGACGGGGGCCACTGTCCCCTCCCGCTGATGCCAGTGAAAAAAAAATACTGATTTAAAAAAAAAAAAAAAAACTATATATACCCCAATTTTTTTTTTTTTTTTCTTTGTAAAATATGAGGATGTTACAGCAAGTAAATAGATACCCAACATGTCATACTTTAAAATTGCGCACGCTCGTGGACCACTCTCCCCTCCCACTGGCGCCAGTGAAAAAAATACACTGCTTAAAAAAAATAAATAAATAAATTAACAAAAAAATAGACTATACCCCCAATTTTTTAATAAAATATGAAGGACGTTCGTGAACCGCTCTCCCCCTCCCGCTGGCCCGCTGGTGCCAGGGACAGGGGGGCCCCTGCTCTCCCCTCCCACTGATGCCAGTGAAAAAAATACACTGATTTAAAACAAAAAAAAAAAAACTATATATACCCCAATTTTTTTTGTAAAATCTGAAAGAGGATGTTACGGCGAGTAAATGGATACCAAACATGTCACGCTTTAAAATTGCACACGCTCGTGGACCACTCTCCCCTCCCGCTGGCACCAGGGATGGCCCGCTCTCCCTTCCTGCTGGCGCCAGTGACAGGGGGCCGCTCTCCCCTCCCGCGGCTGCCAGGGACGGGGGCAGCTGTCCCCTCCAGCTGATGCCAGTGAAAAAAAATACTCTGATTTAAAAAAAAAAAAAAAACCTATATATCCCAATTTTTTTTTTTTTTATGTAAAATATGAGGATGTTACGCCGAGTAAATAGATACCCAACATGTCATGCTTTAAAATTGCGCACGCTTGTGGACCACTCTCCCCTCTCGCTGGCGCCAGGGACAGGCCCACTCTCCCCTCCCGCTGATGCCAGTGAAAAAAATACACGGATTTAAAAAGAAAAAAACGAAACAAAAAAAACTACTATATATATACCCCAATTTTTTAATAAAATATGAAGGATGTTACAGCGAGTAAATACTCAACATGTCACGCTTTAAAATTGTGCACGTTCGTGAACCACTCTCCCCTCCCGCTGGCGCCAGGGACGGGCCGCCAGCTCTCCCCTCCCCGCTGGCGCCAGGGACGGGCCGCCAGCTCTCCCCTCCCGCTGGCGCCAGGGACGGGCCGCCCGCTCTCCCTCCAGTGAAAAAAAATACACTGATTTAAAAAAAAAAAATATATATATATATATATATATATACCCCCATTTTTTTTGTAAAATCGGAAAGAGGATGTTACGGCGAGTAAATAGATACCCAACATATCACGCTTTAAAATTGCACATGCTCGTGGACCGCTGTCCCCTCCCGCTGGCACCAGGGACAGCCCGCTGTCCCCTCCCGCTGGCACCAGGGACAGCCCGCTCTCCCCTCCCGCTGGCACCAGGGACAGCCCGCTCTCCCCTCCCACTGCCAAAGCTGAATGCGACATCCTATGGAGTCGGGTCACGTTCAGCACAGGGAGCCGGAAAACCCTGAAATACAAAACCTAACATCCTGTAGTTTCTGCTGATAAAACTCCTCTGTCCTGCCAGGCTGAAACCAGAGTGAAGCTCAACTACTTGGACCAAATTGCAAAGTTCTGGGAGATCCAGGCGTCATCGCTCAAAATCCCCAACGTGGAGCGCCGAATTCTGGACTTGTACACCCTCAGCAAGGTATGCGTACACTCATGGGGGTCTGAAATGCCTGTCGTCGTACAATTGTGACCCTTTCATTACCTATTTGAAGCCCCCATATACTCTACAGAAAGAATCCGGTAAATTCTTTCCGTTTCCAGGCTGCTGAACCCGCTGCGTTCAAAAGGAAGGGTTCCCCGGGGTCATTTATTTATTGGGACATGCGGTTGCGCAGATGCAGCCGCTGTCTCTTCATATGACATGCATGGGAAGGTGGGTTGCGTGCATCCCCGTGCTGGTGTCCTATTCATTTCTATTAGATGCGTTGCGCAGATGCAGCCGCTGTCTCCTCATAAGACGTGAAGGTGGTTTGTGTGCATCTCCGTGCTGGCGTCCCATTCATTTCTATTGGGACATGCGGTTGCGCAGATGCAGCCGCTGTCTCTTCATATGACATGCATGGGAAGGTGGGTGTTGCGTGCATCCACGTCTGGCGTTCATTTCTATTGGGACATGCGACATGCAGGGGGGAAGTTGGTCTGTGTGCATCCCCGTGCCAGAGTCCAATTCATTTCTATTGGGACATGCGGTAGCACAGATGCAGCCGCTGCCTCCTATGACATGCAGGTTGAAGGTGGGTTGCGTGCATCCCCGTGCTGGAGTCCCATTCGTTTCTATTCAGACATGCTGTTGCACAGAAGCAGCCGCTGTTTCCTCAGATGATACATGTGCAAGTGTGGGCTGCATGCATCTCCATGCTTATTGGGACATGCAGTTGCGCAGATGCAGCCGCTGTCTTCTATGATGACATGCACGTGAAGGTGGGTTGCGCGCATCCCCGTGCCAGTGTCCCATTCATTTCTATTAGGACATGCTGTTGCGCAGATGCAGCCGCTGTTTCCTCAGATGATACACGTGCAAGTGTGGGTTGCCTGCATCCCGTGCTGGCGTCCCATTAATTTCTATTAGGACATGCAGATGCAGATGCACTGTTTCCTCGTATGATATGCAGGGGAAGTGTGGGTTGCGTGCATCCACATGCCGGCGTCCCATTCATTTCTATTAGGACATGCTGTTGCGCAGATGCAGCCACTGTCTCCTCATATGACATGCATGGGAAGGTGGGTTGCGTGCATCCCCATGCCAGCGTCCCATTCATTTCTATTAGGATATGCTGTTGCGCAGATGCAGCCGCTGTCTCCTCATATGACATGCATGGGAAGGTGGGTTGCGTGCATCCCCGTGCCAGCGTCCCATTCATTTCTATTAGGATATGCTGTTGCACAGATGCAGCCGCTGTTTCCTCAGATGATACACGTGCAAGTGTGGGTTGCTGCATCTCCGTGCTGGCGTCCCATTAATTTCTATTAGGACATGCAGATGCAGCCACTGTCTCCTCGTATGATATGCAGGGGAAGGTGGGTTGCGTGCATCCACATGCCGGCGTCCCATTCATTTCTATTAGGACATGCTGTTGCGCAGATGCAGCCGCTGTCTCCTCATATAACATGCAGGTGAAGGTGGGTTGCGTGCATTCCAGTGCCGGCGTCCCATTCATTTCTATTGGAACATGCAGATGCAGCTACTGTCTCCTCATATGACATGCAGGGGAAGGTGGGTTGCGTGCATCCCCGTGCCGGAGTCCAATTCGTTTCTATTAGGACATGCTGTTGCGCAGATGCAGCCGCTGTCTCCTATGACATGCACATGTGGGTGGGTTGCGTGCATCTCCATGTGGCGTCCCATTCATTTCTATTGGGTGCGGTTGCGTGCAGCCGCTGCTCCTTTGATGCAGGTGAAGGCGGGTTGCGTGCATCCCATGCCGGCGTCCCATTCATTTTTATTGGGACTTGTGGCTGCAGGGACACAGCCACCGTCTCCTAACGTGACATGCGGGTGAAGGTCCTCGTTGGCACACAGTGTCTGTCTCTATGCAGCCACATATCCCAATATGAATGAGTCGGGGGCCCCCGGCACAGGGGGCCACGCAACATCCGGGCTAGGAAAACACAGACCTGCACGGGGACCGCAGAAACGCACCTTAGAAGAACGAGCCCCGGCACCAGTTAAACCCCCCCCGTCTTGTAATGGGTGGTGGTCAGTGGGAGGAACCAGTAAGAACTGTGGTGGTGGGTGTCCCAGGGGTGGTGGGTGACCCTGGAGCCTGGACCAGCACCTGGCTCAGCTTCTCGGCACTTGCCTGACGAAGGGGCCCTGCGTGGCTCCGAAACATTGCCGCTGTTTATATTGTGTGGTCACGAAGTAAAGCTTTGGACCCTTCTGAGGATTCCTCGGCGTGCCGGTGACATGTTTTCCACTTGGACCACCCTGGAGCCTGGACCAGCAACTGGCTCAGTCTCTCTGATTGCCTGAGGCAGTTGAGCACTGGGGGGGGGGGGGGGTGCAGAGCAGAGAGCGGTGACTGATGCTCTGAGCAGCAGGGGGCACTGAGTGATCAGCAGTGTCTTGATCGCTCAGTTCTCACTCTTAGAGCCGACGGGGGAAGCCTGATTTAAAAAAATTAAAAATACTTGTTTCCGTTTTCTAGATTGTACGGGAAGAGGGTGGCTACGAGCTGATCTGCCGGGAGAGGAGATGGGCGCGCGTGGCGCAGCGCATGGCGTATCCCTCAGGAAAGAACATCGGCTCCCTGTTGAGGTCCCATTACGAACGCATCATTTTCCCTTTCCACATGTACCAGTCTGGAGCCAACTTGGTGGTAAGAGCCCGGAGACAACTTCTTTCTGCAGGTAAGGGCCGCATTAACCCATTGTGCTGACTTCATCGCGCTCGCTTGGCTCTGTCCTAGGACTGCGGGGAGCGGCCGCGCTATGACAGCGAAGAGAAGGACAAGGAGTACAAACCTCACAGTATTCCACTGCGGCAGTCTGTGCAACCCTCCAAAACCACCAGCTACGGGCGGCGCGCCAAGCGTCTCACTCAGGAGGTAAGAGTCCCCGCTGGTTCCCCTTCACACCGGGCTGCCATTGCTCCGGTCCCTCGCAGTTATTGTCACTCAGCAGCAGCTTTGGATGTGACTGATCCGTCTGGGTGTGCAGGAGAGCGTGTGAAGGAACCCGGCCCCGGGGGGGGATCTGACGTGTCTCACTTTTTATTTTTTTTTTTATTTTCATGTTCTTGTCATTTCATGTAGGATCCTGACAGCTCAGATCCTGCCTCTCAGAGCTCCTCCCAGCCCCCCGAAACATCTCCACCCTGGGTATACACTTCTCTCTTGTGCTTTTCATCAATACATTTTACTGCTGCAATCTGCTATAACTTGTGTCCCGCGACCTTCCCCCTGCGCGACCTTCCCCCTGCGCGACCTTCCCCCTGCGCGACCTTCCCCCTGCGCGACCTTCCCCCTGCGCGACCTTCCCCCTGCGCGACTTCCCCCTGCGCGACCTTCCCCCTCCGACCTTCCCCCTGCGCGACCTTGCGCTCTGACTTCATATCCATGTATTGCTGCAATCTGCTATAACTTGTGTCCCCTGCGCTCTGTGACTTCCTATTCCATGTACTGCAATCTGCTATAACTTGTGTTCCCTGCGTGACCTTCCCTGCGCTCTGACTTCATACTCCATGTAATGCTGCATGGCAGGCTCTCTGTAGTGTAATGTCTGCCTAGGTTTGTATCTGCTTCACTATACTTCATCTCCTTTGCTGGCTTCATTGGAGTCTTCGTTTTCCTCGCTCAATTCTGCCTTGCTGTACCGTTCTTTCCTCTCCCTTCATTTCTTTTGGGTTTTTTTTTTTTTTTTTTTTTTCCCCCTTCCCCCTTCCCTTCCCTTTTTTTTTTTTTTTTTCCCCCTTCCCTTACCTTTTTTCTTTTTTTTTTTTCCCCTTCCCTTACCTTTTTTTTTTTTTTTTTCCCCCTTCCCCCTTTTTTTTTTTTTTTTTTTTTCTCCCCTTCCCTTCCCTTCCCTTTTTTTTTTTTTTTTCCCCCTTCCCTTTTTTCTTTTTTTTCCCCCTTCCCTTTTTTCTTTTTTTTTTCCCCTTCCCTTTTCTTCTTTCTTTTTTTTTCCCCCCTTCCCTTTTTCTCTCCCTTCTTTTTTTTTTTTTTTCCCTTTTTCCCCTTCCCTTCCCTTCCCTTTTTTCTTTTTTTTTTTTTTCCCCCCTTCCCTTCTCTTTTCTCCCTTCCCTTCCCTTTTTTTTTTTTTTCCCCCCTTCCCTTTTTTTCTTTTTTTTTCCCCTTTTTTTCTCCCTTCCCTTCCCTTTTTTTTTCCCTTCCTTCCCCCCTTTTTTTCTCCCTTCCCTTTTTTTTTCTCCCTTCCCTTCCCCTTTTTTTCTCCCTTCCCTTCCCTTTTTTTTCCCTTCCCTTTTTTCTTCTTTTTCTTTTCCCTTCCCTTTTTTCTTTTTTTCTTTTTCTTTTCCCTTCCCTTCCCTTCCCTTTTTTTTTTTTCCCTTTTTCTTTTCCCTTCCCTTCCCTTTTTTTTTTCTCCCTTTTTTTCTCCCTTCCCTTCCCTTTTTTTTTTCCCTTCCCTTTTTTTTTCTTTACTTTTTTTTTTTCTTCCCCTTTTTTTTCCCTTCCCTTCCCATTCCTTTTTTTTTCCCTTCCCTTCCCTTTTTTTTTTTCTCCCTTCCCTTCCCTTTTTTTTTTTTTTTTTTCTTTTTCTTTTTCTTTTTTTTTTCCCTTTCCCCCTCTTTTTCTTTTTCCCTTCCCTTTTTTTTTCCTTTCCCTTCCCCTTTTTTTTTCTCCCTTCCCTTTTTTTTTTTTTCCCTTCCCTTTTTTTTCTCCCTTTTTTTCCCTTCCATCTTCTTAATAATTACCGTATTTCCAAATACCAGCCCTCAAGAGCCGACCTATTTTAGCATTGTTGTGGCATTGCCTTGTTGTGTTTGGCGATGAGCTGCACATGTGTGGCTCCGTGTACACATACAGAAAAGTAGTGGCAGGCAGGTAGATGCATCTGTCGAGGGACACGCACAGGTCTTTTTCTATCTAAAAAAAAAAAAAAAACAAAAAAAAAAAAAACCCAAACGTGCTGCTTAGACGTGAATACAGCCTCGTTGTCTGAGGAAGAGATCATGGCGTCATTTGGCCAGCTCTTTGAATGCAAAGATCCCCCTCATTGGCTGAAGTATTGATAGAATGAGGTTACATTCAGGAAGTACCGAGCCCCCCCAGTAAGTACACCTGTCAGTGCAGGTCCAGCTTGGCCCCAACACACTATTTAACCACCTCCCGTCTGGCCGTTGTATATAAACTGCCGGACGGTGGCAGTGCAGAGGTGGGTGGCCATTTATAAATGGCCTCCCCTGCCCCCTGCTTGTGCACACTCCCTGGGAGCGCACAGCACCGCAATCCAGTGCCCGCTGTGTCCTCCGGACACAATGGAACACCGATCGTCGTGAGGTCCCTCTGTGCGAGGTCCCGATCATGTGATCACTGATTGGCCAATTAGTGATCACATGCAGAGTAGTAAGCAAGATGTCACATTGCTTACTATGTGTGAAATCTGTGAATGATCACAGAGATCACATGGTACAGGGCTATTCACAACAGCCTTGTACCATGTGACAAGCTGTGACCAATCACAGCTCTCACAGTATTTTTCAATGGCTGCAAGAATGCAGCCAGAGAGAAGGAGAAATGATTGCTTTTGCAACCTTTATGGGTGTAAAAGCAATCAGTGTAAAAAAAAAAAAAAAAAAAAAATTCATCACCCCCCCACAAGTTGTACAGTGTTACCATGGTGACACTGTACTGCTAGTCTGACTGTATGTAAAAAAAAAATAATAAAAAATGAAATAAAAAAAAGTTTAAAAATTATTATTTTTGTTATAAAAATTATTATTTTTGGTTAAATAATTTAGGATATATATATATATATATATATATATATATATATTTATTTTATATTTTATTTTTTTATACTAAAAATACTAAAAATATAACTGAATACATTTTGGCCGAGATTTATGATGAAATATTATTTATTTGCAAAATTTTATAAGAAAAACACTTTTTTTCAAAATTTTTGGACTTTTTAATTTACATAGCAAAAAAAAAAATAAAAATCCCAACGGTGAATAAATACCACCAAAATAAAGTTTTTATCTGTCTAAAAAAAAAAAAATGCTAAAAATTTCATATGGGTACAGTGTTGCATGACCGCGCAATTGTCATTCAAAGTGCGCTGAAAGCTGAAAATTGGCACAGGAAGTGGGTGAAAGTGTCGGACTGAAGGGGTTAATGGGACATTGAAAATGTGGAGATCCACTTTAACGTACCCCCCCCAAACTGTAACCTTGTACTTGGTGGTCCCTGAGGACTGGTTTGGAATACATTTTTACTTTTTATCACGTTCTGTCCGCTCACTTCACTCTCTACTGTCCTTCAAGCCGGAACCGACCGAAGAAGACATCGAGAAGAACCCGGAGCTAAAGAAACTTCAGATCTATGGTGCGGGTCCAAAAATGATGGGGCTTGGCCTGATGGCGAAAGACAAAAACCTGCGCAAGAAAGGTAAGAACGGGAGAGAATTCACCGCTTGACGAGCGCCCTCTGGGTACAGGGCGGCCGCTGTGTGCAGGATCACGTGTATGTATACATGACTCTGTACTTGCTGGTAGGACACGTGTGAGCGCCGCTTCTACTGTGAAGCCGATCTGCTGGTGCCGGCCAATGGATGACCAACGGCACCCGCTGATTGGCAAGGGGAGAGAGCGAACACAACTCTGCCTATGTAAACAAGGATGAGCTTTGTCCTATCAGCGGCCATGTGCTGGATTTTGTTTCCCTGAAAAACAGGGAATAAGAACCAGCACATTCCTTAGTAAAAACACCACATAGTACACATCAACACTGGTGAGGCACGCGGTTCACCCTTTCATCGCCCTAGATGTGTAACCCCTCCCCTGCCAGTGTCGTCAGTATATTTTTAGCACCAATCACTGCATTCGTGTCGCTGGTTCCCACAAAGCGTCAAATTGTCCGCCACAATATCGCAGTCCCGCTAAAGGTTACTAGTATTAAAAAAAAAAAAAAAAAATTGTGTGCGTGCACGCGCGCGCAAGTGAAACTCGAAAAATGAGAATATGGTACAAAAGTTCATTTATTTCAGTGCAGCAACTTACAAGGTGACACTAATATATGAGACTCATTCCATGCAAAGCAAGATAGTTCAAGCCGTGATTTGTCATCATTGTGATGATTATGGCTTACAGCTCATGAAAACCCCAAATCCACAATCTCAGAAAATGAGAATATTCCATGCAATCAATGAAACACGGATTGTACATAGAACAATATCGCACCTCTGAAAAGTAGAAGCTGCATATGTACTCAGTACTTGGTTGGGGCCCCTTTTGCAGCAATTACTGCCTCAATGCGGCGTGGCATGGAAGCTATCAGCCTGTGGCACTGCTGAGGTGTTATGGAAGACCAGGATGCTTCAATAGCGGCCTTCAGCTCTTCTGCATTGTTCGGTCTCATGTCTCTCATCTTTCTCTCGGCAATGCCCCATAGATTCTCTATGGGGTTCAGGTCAGGCGAGTTTGCTGGCCAATCAAGCACAGTAATCCCACGGTCATTGAACCAGGTTTTGGTGGTTTTGGCAGTGTGGGCGGAGCCAAGTCCTGCTGGAAAATGAAGTCAGCATCCCCATAAAGCTGGTCTGCGGAAGGAAGCATGAAGTGCTCCAAAATCTCCTGGTAGACGGCTGCGTTGTCCCTGGACTTAATGAAGCACAGTGGGCCAACACCAGCAGATGACATGGCTCCCCAAATCAACACAGACTGTGGAAACTTCACACTGGACTTCAAGCATCTTGCAGTGTGTGCTTCTCCATTCTTCCTCCATACTCGGGGTCCTTGTGCCTCTCCATTCTTCCTCCATACTCGGGGTCCTTGGGCCACTCCATTCTTCCTCCATACTCGGGGTCCTAGGGCCTCTCCATTCTTCCTCCATACTCGGGGTCCTTGGGCCTCTCCATTCTTCCTCCATACTCGGGGTCCTTGGGCCTCTCCATTCTTCCTCCACACTCGGGGTCCTCGGGCCTCTCCATTCTTCCTCCATACTCGGGGTCCTCGGGCCTCTCCATTCTTCCTCCACACTCGGGGTCCTCGGGCCCTCTCCATTCTTCCTCCACACTCGGGCTCCTTGGGCCTCTCCATTCTTCCTCTATACTCGGGCTCCTTGGGCCTCTCCATTCTTCCTCCATACTCGGGCTCCTTGGGCCTCTCCATTCTTCCTCCATACTCGGGCTCCTTGGGCCTCTCCATTCTTCCTCCATACTCGGGCTCCTTGGTTTTCCAAGTGAGATGCAAAAGTTGCTCTCATCAGAAAAGAGGACTTTGGACCACTGAGCAACAGACCAGATCTGTTTTTCTTTAGCCCAGGTAAGACGCTTCTGACGTTGTTTGTTGTTCATGAGCGGCTTGACAAGAGGAATACGACATTTGAAGCCCATTTCCAGGATCCGTCTGTGTGTGGTGGCTCTTGATGCACTGACTCCAGCCTCAGTCCATTCCTTGTGAAAGTCCCCAACACTTCTGAATGGCCTTTTCCTGACAATCCTCTCCATGCTGTGGTCATCCCTGCTGCTTATGCACCTTTTTCTTCCACGCTTTTCCCTTCCACATAACTTTCTATTAATGTGCTTTGATACAGCACTTTGGGAACATCCAACTTCTTCTGCAATTCCCTTTTGAGGCTTTCCCTCCTTATGGAGGGTGTCAGTGATGGTGTCGGGTCAGCAGTCTGTCCCATGATTGTGATTCCTACTGAACCAGACTGAGAGACCATTTAAAGGCTCAGGAACCCTTTGCAGGTGTTATGGTTGAATGAGCTGATTAGAGTGGGACACTTTGAGCCGAGATTATTCCACCTTTTCACAATATTCTCATTTTCTGAGATTGTGGATTTGGGGTTTTCATGAGCTGTAAACCATAATCATCACAATGATGACAAATCACGGCTTGAACTATCTTGCTTTGTATGTAATGAGTCTCATATATTAGTTTCACCTTTTAAGTTGCTGCACTCAAATCAATGAACTTTTGCACCATATTCTAATTTTTTCGAGTTTCCCCTGTATATACACACACTAATATATATATATATATATATATATATATATATATATATATATATATATATATATTATTTTTTTTTTTTAACCACACACACCAATATAAATATATATATATATATATAGTGTGTGTGGTTAAGAAAAAAAATAATATAAATATATATTTGGTCTAAATTTTATGAAGAAAATAGTTTTGTTTTTTTTTTGGGTTTTTTTTTTAGTTTTTTTATTTATTATATTTTTTAAAGCTTAAAGATTAATTGTAATTTTTTTTTTTTTTATTTTCCAAAAGGTTTTTTTTTTTTTTTTTTTTTTTTTTTTTCAATATAGTGCAAAAAAAACCCAGCGGTGATCAAATATCACCAAAGAAAACTTTATTTGTGGGGGGGAAAAAAAAACAAACTTTATTTGGTGTACAGCATTGCATGAACGCAGTGCCGTACAGCAAAAAATGGCCTGGTCAGGATGACAGGGACGGGACGGGACGGGGGGGGGGGGGGGGATGTAAAATCTTCCAGAGAATATTTTGAACCTGAATTTCAAAATAAAGAGGGGAGAAAAAAAAAACCCATTGTGTGACGAGACGCAATCTGTTTCAGAAGGAGATATCCCAGAATGCCCCCCAACACTGGTGGTGAAGGAGGAGGTTGGAGAGGTCGAGGAGAGCAGACTGTACATAAAGCGGGAACGATCGCTCAGTCCTGAACCCTGCACAAAGATGACCATGAGACTGCGTCGGAGCACCAGCAGCGCCCAGTTTGTAAGTACGGCCCCACCCTTTACTGTCGCTGGTTGTGCTTCCCCTTCGTGCAGCTGCTGATCGTCGGATCCTTTCCCCGGATTTAGGTGGATTCCTACGTCTGCCGCATCTGTTCCCGCGGGGATGACGATGAGAAGTTATTACTGTGTGACGGCTGTGATGACAACTACCACACGTTCTGCCTGTTACCCCCACTTCCTGAACCCCCAAAAGGCATCTGGCATTGTCCCAAATGTGTCATGGCCGTAAGTAACACCGTGTGTGTGTGTGTGGGGGGTATATTGGAAGGGGAAGTGATCTTCTGCTAGAAGATGCCCCAATCGGCAACAGCACAGCCATCCAGAGCAGTGTGAGTACAGTGAAGCACACACACTGCCCCCCAGTAAGAGAGAGCGCCCCCCAGTAAGAGAGCGCCCCCCAGTAGAGAGAGCGCCCCCCAGTAAGTAAGTAGAGAGAGCCCCCCCAGTAAGAGAGAGCGCCCCCCAGTAAGAGAGAGCGCCCCCCAGTAAGAGAGAGCGCCCCCCCGTAAGAGAGCGCGCCCCCCCCCCCCCGTAAGAGAGCGCGCCCCCCAGTAAGAGAGCGAGCCCCCCCTCCCCCCAGTAAGAGAGCGAGCCCCCCTCCCCCCAGTAAGAGAGCGAGCCCCCCCCCCCAGTAAGAGAGCGAGCCCGCCCTCCCCCCCCCAGTGGCAAGAGAGACCGCCCCCCTAGAATACTACTCCCAGCACACAGGTAACCCTTTGATCTCCCCAGATGTTAACAATCTTCCTCCCTGTCTGCTCAGGCACACTGCACAGCACAAGGCTGTAAAAGCAATCATTTCTCCTTCTCTCTGGCTGCATTCCTGCAGTCATTGAGAAAATACTGTGTGATCTGTGATTGGTCATAGCTTGTCACATGGTACAAGGCTGTTGTGAATGGCCCTGTACCATGTGATCTCTGTGATCATTCACAGATTTCACATGTAGTAAGTAATGATGTCACAAGTGACATCTTGCTTACTACTCTGCATGTGATCACTGATTGGCCAATCAGTGATCACATGATCAGGACCTCACAAACATCCTCATGGGACTTGTAGTTCCAACATTTGGAGTGCCGCCAGTTTGACACCCGAGCTGCAGGGTGTTTGCTTTCAGAAAATATACTGTCTCGGGGAGAGGGGGGGGGGTTATTAATCTTCAAGCCTAAAAAAAAAAAAATAATAATAAAAAGTCTGTAAAGGGCGCATGCTCGTGTCCTGTCTCAGCTGTTTACAAAACATTTGTAGTTCAAGTTTTTTTTTTTTTTTTTTTTTTAAATTCTGGTACTTTTTTGGCCACCTGATGACGAGTTGGAATTCCCTGCAAGGATCAGCGATCGTTCCCTGTGTGTGCCGGCATTGGGGAGTCTCTTCATCCTGATCCCACTTCTTTCTCCTGCAGGAATGTAAACGTCCGCCGGAAGCCTTTGGGTTTGAACAGGCGACGCGGGAGTACACCCTGCAGAGTTTCGGCGAGATGGCGGATTCCTTTAAGGCAGATTATTTCAATATGCCAGTTCATGTGAGTGGCCTACATTTTGGTGTGCTAACTTTTTTTTTTTGTTGGTTCTCTCTTTCTCTCCCTGTCAACATGCTGTGTTTTTTTTTTTTTTTTTTTTTTAATTTTTTTTTTTTGTTTAAATAAAATAAATTATTTATATATATATATATATATATATATATATATATATATATATATAATATATATATTATTATTATATATTTATTATATATATATGGTATTTAAAATAAAAAAAATGTGTGTATGTGTGTATATATTAATATATATATATAATATATATATATGTGTGTGTGTGTGTGTGTGTGTGTGTGTGTGTATGTGTATATTATATATATATATATATATATATATATATATATATTTTTTTTTTTTTTTTTTTATTTTTTCCATTTATTTTTTTGTATGGTTTTTAAATCAAAAGAAAATCAGCATGTTCGAATAAAAAAAAAAAAAAAGTTTATATATATATATATATATATATATATATATTTTTTTTTTTTTTTTTTTTTTTTTTTTTCGAACATGCTGATTTTCTTTTGGTTTAAAAACCAATACAAAAAAATTTATATATATATATATATAAATGTGTATGTGTATATTTTATTAAAAACAAATATATATGTATATAACAAATTCATTTTTTTTTTTTTTTTGCCAACATGCTGATTTTTCTTTTGGTTTTAAAAAAAAAAAAATACAAAATTAAATACATAATGAATTTTTTTTTTTTTTTTAAATAAAAATGATGTGTATATGTGTATATATACACACACACGCACATTTACCTCGGATTACAAATTTAATGCGTTCTCCGGGCCTTTTCGTATTGCGAAAAATTCGTAAATTGAAACGCAGTTTCCCATAGGAATGCATTGAAAACCAATTAATCCGTTCCGGAGGTCAGAAAAAAGTGAAAAAAAAAAAAAAGTCTTGTATCCATTCAAAACTTTTATAAAGTGCACTTTAAAGGCATCAATACTGTACAGGGACGTGATTAAAAACAAATATTTGTAAATGCGCTGAAAAACCATGAATTCGTTCATTGTTGCGAAAAAATTTGTAAACCGAGGCATTCTTTCCAATGGATTTTCATTTGTAAACCAAAAAAAAAAAAAAAAAATATAAATATATATATATATATATATATATATATATATATATATATATATATATATATATATATATATATATATATAAATAAATATATTTTTTTTAATAAATCTAAAAGTAAATATATTTAATATAAACATAAATATGTTATGTGTGTGTCTTGAATATAAAAATTTTGGGAAACTGTTTTAGTTCCGCTTCAAAGCCTATACATTTTTTACTTTTTTTTTTCTTCTAACTGTAAAATTGTTTAGGCTTTAATTATATATATATATATATATATATATATATATATATATATATATATATATATATATATATATATATATTATATTTATTTATTTATTTATTTATTTATTTATTTTTTTTTTTTGAGTGTGGCTGTTATTCACAAGAAGCCTTCAATATAACGATTTTGGGAAACTGTTAAAAATAAATAAATAAAAAGTTCAACAGTTTTTTTTTTTTTTTTTTTTTTTTAAGAACACATTTGTGTAAAAAAATAAATAAAAGGAAAAAAAATGAAATAAATAGGAATAAAAAAAATATTAAAAATGGGGTAATTTTAATGGCTCTGTTAGCAGGATGGTTAAACATTGAACACACAGGGAGGGTCATTGAACCGCCATATGTAGGTTGGTATGTGACGGTGCTCCTTTTCGGTCTCCAGATGGTGCCTACGGAGCTGGTGGAGAAGGAGTTTTGGCGTCTGGTGAACAGCATCGAGGAGGATGTGACGGTGCAGTACGGGGCCGACATTCACTCCAAGGAGTTCGGCAGCGGCTTCCCTATGCTGGACGGGAAATCGGAGCTGACTCCCGAGGAGAAGGTAACGGATGCGGCGCCCCTCCTAAATCTCCGCCTTCTTGTTGGGGATTTGTACGTCTCGTTGCGCTCACCTCGCCCTTTGTTTGCTCCTCAGACGTACGCCACCAGTGGCTGGAACCTGAACGTGATGCCGGTGCTGGAGCAGTCAGTGCTGTGCCACATCAACGCCGACATTTCCGGCATGAAGGTGCCGTGGCTGTACGTGGGAATGGTGTTCTCCGCTTTTTGTTGGCACATCGAAGATCACTGGAGCTATTCCATCAACTATCTTCACTGGTCAGTATGTCGGGTCTGGACGATCCATCAACTCTACTACGCCTGCTTATAGTCAGCGGAAGGAGAGTTCCCCTGGGGACAACCCAAAATTTGAGCTGTCCCTAGAATAGTAATACGAGAAAAAAAAAAAACGTTTTTTGCCCATTGGAATATAAAAAACAAGAAAAAACCTTTTTTGCTCATAGGAATAAAAAAAAAAAAAAAAAAGTTTGTTGCCCATTAAAATGAAAAACCAAAAAAACATGGTTTGCCCATAGGAATAAAAAAAATAAAATAAAAATAAAGGTTTTTTAGCCCATAGGATTATGGGCAAAAAAAAGAAAAAAAACTTTTTGCCCAAAGGAATAAAAAAACGTTTATTGCTCATTGCAATTTTTGGAGTTTTTTTTTTTGCCCATAGAAATTAAAAAAAAAAAAAAAAAAAAAAACTTATTTTGCCCATTTGAATAAAAAAACAAAGTTTTTCCGCTTATAGGAATAAAAGAAAATACCTTTTTTGCCCTTAGGAATAAAAAAAGATTTTTTTTGGCGATAGGATTATGGGCAAAAAAAGAAAAAAAAACATTTTTTGCCCAAAGGAATAAAAAAAAAAAAGTTTATTGCTCAATAGAATAAAAAACAAATTTTTTTTTTTTTGCCCATAGAAATTAAAAAAACAAACTTATTTTGCCCATTAAAATAAAACCAAAAAAAAAAGTTTGTTGCCCATTGGAATGAAAAACAAAAACCTGGTTTGCCCATAGGAATAAAAAAAAATAAAATAAAAATAAAGGTTTTTTAGCCCATAGGATTATGGGCAAAAAAAAAAAAAAAACTTTTTGCCCAAAGGAATAAAAAAAACGTTTATTGCTCATTGCAATAAAAAACAGAGTTGTTTTTTTTTTTGCCCATAGAAATTTAAAAAAAATTAAAAAAAAAAAAACGTATTTTGTCCATTAGAATAAATAACAAAAGTTTTTGCCCATAGGAATAAAAAAAAAAAAAAAAGAAACCGTATTTTGGCCATTTGAATAAAACACATTAAAGTTTTTTTGCTTATAGGAATAAAAGAAAAAAAAAAAAGTTTTTTTTGCCCATAGGATTATGGGCAAAAAAAAGAAAAAAACTTTTTTGACCATTCGAATGAAAAACAAACAAAACTTTTTTTGCCCATAGGGATAAAAAAAAAACAAAAACTTGTAGTGCATTCTTGCCGCGTTATTGATGCGTTTTGCATTTAAAATCTGCCTAGCAACAAGAAAAAAATACAACCTGCAAAACGCGTCAAAAATGCAACACAAAGCGCAATGCAGAGACGCATCAAACGCAACCTGCATAGGCGTGCACCCAGACTCGAGGAGATTCACCCTCTCCATTCATCCTGTTTTTTTCTATTATGATTGAAAGCAAAAGATTAATCCCACATTTTGGGTTGTCCCCAGAAAAGTAACAGAGGGGAAATCTTTCTATGGGGACACTGGTTTGGGAGACCTTGAATTTCTCATTTGCAGGGGATTTCCTCACTTCCTGTTTGGCCATGCGACAGACAGGAAGTGAAGGCAAATCTCTGCAGAGGGACACAGATGGCGAAAAAAGTCTTGACGGGTTTTTATCATCCCTCGCTCTATCCAAAATTGGAGGGGGGGTTGCCTGTAGTTCTACTTTGCAGGGGTTTCCTCTCACTTCCTGTATTGACTATGGGACAGGAAGTGAAGATAAAGCTCCCCAAAAAAAACTGAGTTTTTTTGCCCATAGAAAACAAAAATGCCTTTTTTTGCCCATAGCAAAAAAAATTGCCTTTTTTTGCCCATAGAAAACAAAAATGCCTTTTTTTGCCCATAGCAAAAAAAAATGCCTTTTTTTTTGCCCATAGAAAACAAAAATGCCTTTTTTTTGCCCATAGCAAAAAAAATGCCTTTTTTTGCCCATAGAAAACAAAAAATGCCTTTTTTTGCCCATAGCAAAAAAAAATGCCTTTTTTTTGCCCATAGAAAACAAAAATGCCTTTTTTTGCCCATAGCAAAAAAAATATGCCTTTTTTTGCCCATAGAAAACAAAAATGCCTTTTTTTGCCCATAGCAAAAAAAAATGCCTTTTTTTTTGCCCATAGAAAACAAAAATGCCTTTTTTTGCCCATAGCAAAAAAAATGCCTTTTTTTTGCCCATAGAAAACAAAAATGCCTTTTTTTGCCCATAGCAAAAAAAATGCCTTTTTTTGCCCATAAAAAACAAAAATGCCTTTTTTTGCCCATAGCAAAAAAAATGCCTTTTTTTGCCCATAGAAAACAAAAATGCCTTTTTTTTGCCCATAGCAAAAAAAAAATGCCTTTTTTTTTGCCCATAGCAAAAAAAAAATGCCTTTTTTTTGCCCGTAGAAAACAAAAATGCCTTTTTTTTGCCCATAGAAAAACAAAAAATGCCTTTTTTTTGCCCATAGCAAAAAAAATGCCTTTTTTTTTGCCCATAGCACAAAAAAAATGCCTTTTTTTTTTGCCCATAGCACAAAAAAAAATGCCTTTTTTTTTTGCCCATAGAAAACAAAAATGCCTTTTTTTTTGCCCATAGAAAACAAAAATGCCTTTTTTTTTTTTTTTTTTTGCCCATAGAAAACAAAAATGCCTTTTTTTTTTTTTTTGCCCCATAGCAAAAAAAATGCCTTTTTTTTGCCCATAGCAAAAAAAAAAAATGCCTTTTTTTTTTGCCCATAGAAAACAAAAATGCCTTTTTTTTTTGTGCCATAGAAAACAAAAATGCCTTTTTTTGCCCATAGAAAACAAAAATGCCTTTTTTTGCCCATAGCAAAAAAAAATGCCTTTTTTGCCCGTAGAAAAACAAAAATGCCTTTTTTTTTTTTTTTTTTGTTTTTTTTGTTTTTTTTGTTTTTTTTTTTTTGTTTTTTTGTTTTTTTGCCCGTAGAAAAACAAAAAAACGCCGTTATTTTTATTTATTTTTTTGCCCATGGGCATAAAAAAAAAGCTAAAAAAAAAAACTTTGCAATCCCTTTGAAGAATGAATGGCAGATCTGCACAGGATCATCGCGGTTTTGGTTACAGATGCAGCAACAGTGCAATTTTTTTTTTTTCTTTTTCTATATCATCTGTCCTGCACCCGCACAAGTGTGACCGCAGCCAGAATTCAAGAAGAAGCATGCAGCCAGGGAGGTGCCGGCACAGGACTAGTGGCCCGTCATGTAGAGTGAATCCAGTAGGGGGCGTTGTATTTGGGACGTGGTGTACTCATGCCGTTCTATTGCCCATGTGCAGGGGTGAACCCAAGACCTGGTACGGGGTGCCATCCTCATCCGCCGAACAGCTTGAAGGGGTCATGAAGAAGCTGACACCGGAGCTCTTTGACAGCCAACCAGATCTGCTGCACCAGTTGGTGACGCTGATGAACCCCAACACACTCATGTCACACGGCGTTCCGGTCAGTTCTGCTTCGTAGTTTTCCTGATATTTTGGGGTGATCTGTGTGTCACTGAAGGTACCCCAATGTGTGTCGTCCTCTCACCCTGGTGCACTCTGACCTGCGTTCATCTTATGCTGGTTTTATCCATTTTTATATATTTTTTTTAGGTTGTTCGCACCAACCAATGTGCCGGCGAGTTTGTCATCACCTTCCCACGAGCCTATCACAGCGGCTTCAACCAGGGATACAACTTTGCTGAGGCCGTCAACTTCTGCACCGCTGATTGGGTGAGTCCGAGGATTTCCCATCGATTTATATCGTGATTTTATGGAGCGATCTGCTGATTGTTGCTGCTTTTTAGGCCCCGTTCACACCGAACCAATTTGTAGTGCAAAACTCCAAAAATCAATTCTCTACGGAGATGGTTATATCTCTACCGCAGGTCACCTGAAGACACAAGTTCTGGAGATTTTTTTCTTTTTTTCTTTCATCTCCTTTCTTTCTTTCCTTCTCTCTTTTCTTTCTTTTTTTTTTCTCTCTTTTCTTTCTTTTTTTTTTTTCTCTCTTCTTCTTTCTTTTTTTTCTCTCTTTTCTTTCTTTTTTCTTTTTTCTTTCTTTCTTTCTTTCTTTCTCTCGCTTTCTTTCTTCTTCTTTTTTTCTTTCTCGCTTTCTTTCTTTCCCCCCTCTCTTTCTTTCTTTCTCTCTTTTCTCTTTTTTTCTTTCTCTTTGCTTTTCTTTCTTTTCTTTTTCTCTTTCTGTTTCTCTTTCTTTCCTCTTCTCTTTCTCTTTCTTGCTTTCTTTCTTTCTCGCTTTTTTCGCTTTCTTCTTTCTCCCTTTTTTCCGCTTTCTTTCTTTCGCTTTTTCTTCGCTTTCTTTCTTTCTCTTTTCGCTTTTTTTTTTTTACCCGCTTTCTTTCTTTCTCTTTCTCTTTTTTTCGCTCGCTTTTTTCTTTCGCTTTTTTCGCTTTCATTCTTTCGCTTTCCTCTTTTTCGCTTTCTTTCTTTCTCTTTCGCTTTTTTCGCTTTCTTTCTTTCTCTTTCGCTTTTTTCGCTTTTTCTTTCTTTCTCTTTCGCTTTTTCGCTTTCTTTCTTTCTCTTTCGCTTTTTCGCTTTCTTTCTTTCTCTTTCGCTTTTTTTCGCTTTCTTTCTTTCTCTTTCGCTTTTTTCTTTCGCTTTCTTTCCTTCTCTTTCGCTTTTTCGCTTTCTTTCTTTCGCTTTTTCGCTTTCCCACCCCCCTCGCTTTTTCGCTTTCTTTCTTTCGCTTTTCTCCCCTTTCTTTTCTTCTTTTCTTCCCCCCCCGCTTTCTTTCTTTCGCTTTTTCCTTCGCCTTTCTTTCTTTCGCTTTTTCCCCCGCTTTCTTTTTTTCGCCCTTTTCTTTCTTTTCCTTTTTCCTCTCCTTTCGCTTTTTCGCTCTTCTCTTTCGCTTCTTTCCGCTTTTTTTTTCCCTTTTTTTTTTTCGCTTTCTTTCTTTCGCTTTTTCTTTCGACGCACTTTCTTTCTCTTCCCGCTTTTTTTTTCACCCTTTTCGCTTTCTTTCTCTTTCGCTTTTTCCTTCCTTTCTTTCTCACTCTTTCGCTTTTTTCGCTTTCTTTCTTTCTCTTTCGCTTTTTTCGCTTTCTTTCTTTCTCTTCTTTCCCGCTTTCCTTCTTTCTTTCGCTTCTTTCGCTTTCTTTCTCTCCTTTCCCTTTTTCGCTTTCTTTTTTCGCTTTTTCTTTCCTCGCTTCTTTTTCGCTCTCTTTCGCTTTTTCGCTCTTTCTTTCGCTCTTTTCGCTTTTTCGCTTTCGCTTTTTCGCTTTCTTTCTTTCGCTTTTTCTTCCTCGCTTTCTTTCTTTCGCTTTTTTCTTTCGCTTTCTTTCTTTCGCTTTTTTCTTTCGCTTTCTTTCTTTCGCTTTTTCTTTCGCTTTCTTTTCTTTTCGCTTTTTTCGCTTTCTTTCTTTCTTTCGCTTTTTCGCTTTCTTTCTTTCGCTTTCGCTCTCTCTCTCTCTCTCTCTCTCTCTCTCTCTCTCTCTCTCTCCCCCTCTCCTCTCTTCTCTTCTCTCTCTCTCGCTCTCTCTCTCTCTCTCTCTCTCTCTCTCTCTCCCCCTCCCCCCCCCCCCCCCTCCTTGTTTTTTTTCTTCTTGTGTTTTTTTTCTTCTTGTGTTTTTTCTTTGTTTGGGGGATGTGGATGGTGCGGTTCATCTCTACCTGTTCTAGATGTTGCCTATATCCGTGATTGTCTTCCCGAGATCTGTACAGTCTGTGTGTGTTGGGGGATGGGCGGTGTTATATCACATTCCGTTTTAATGTTTGTTTGTTTTTTTTGTTTTTTTGGATGATCTGTTATATAATTTTTCTTCAAAATAAAAGCTCATTTGTGGTGCATTATCTGACAACGTTTCCTTCTTTCTACTTTCAGCTCCCAGCAGGAAGAAAATGTATCGAGCATTACCGCCGCCTGCGCAGATACTGCGTCTTCTCCCACGAAGAGCTCATTTGCAAGATGGCCGCGTGCCCGGAAAGACTGGACCTGAGCCTGGCCCGCGGCCGTCCACAAGGAGATGCTCTTGTTGGTGCAGGAGGAGCGCAGGTTGCGGAAAGCCTTGATGGAGAGGGGGGTCTCCGAAGCGGAGCGGGAAGCCTTCGAGCTCCTCCCGGATGACGAAAGACAGTGTCAGAAGTGCAAGACCACCTGCTTCCTGTCTGCCTTGGCCTGTTACAGCTGCCCTCAGGGCCTGGTGTGCCTGTATCACATCGATGATTTGTGTCAGTGCCCGCCTTCCCGACAGTATCTCAGGTGTGTGCTGCGTCCTCCCCAAGTCTGGTGTCAGTGCGCGCCGCATTGCCCAATGTAGCCGCAGAGTCAGAAGGCTTTGGGATCTCCAGGGTTTGTGTGAGCGAGGGTTCAGGATTTGTGCCTTCACCTGACCGTCACCCCTGTAGAAGCTGCTTCCGTTCAAAACCCGTGGACCTGCATCTGCCGGCTTCGGAAAATGCCGCTCGCTTGGCTGTAACGCCAACTCCCTACTGTCAAAATTTTCACCCCGAACAAGGAAATTTGAGGTTTTTATGTGCTGATGACTACGGATGCGCTGTTATCGGAGTCAGTAGTAAGCATTTTCATGAGCGCTCATGAAAATGCTCCCAATGCCTGGAACCGATAATTTGCGGTGCAATTTTATGCCGATACAAAATGTATGGAGGCCAATGGTGGTGCAAAGAATAGCATATGGTTTCAACAGGAATGCGTCTGTTAAAAACGCATGCGGTTTTCCCTACTGCTCCTCCTGGTGCGAACCTGGGCTTGTTATAGCTGGCCATCTCCCAGGTAGCTTGGCGGCACACCTGTGCGCTGTGGCCATCTCCCAGGTAGCTTGCCGGCGCGCTGTGGCCATCTCCCAGGTAGCTTGCCGGCGCGCTGTGGCCATCTCCCAGGTAGCTTGCCGGCGCGCTGTGGCCATCTCCCAGGTAGCTTGCCGCACGCCCCGCAGGAGAAGCCCCTCTTACTGGTTATCTCCCAGGTAGCTTGCCGGTGCGCCCGCTCGCTGGCCTTGTCCCAGGTAGCTTGCCGGCGCACACACTTGTTCGTCTTCTCCCAGGTGGAACGCCTGCTTCCTGGTCTTCTCCCAGGTGGAACGCCTGCTTCCTGGTCTTCCTCCCAGGTGGAACGCCTGCTTCCTGGTCTTCTCCCAGGTGGAACGCCTGCTTCCTGGTCTTCTCCCAGGTGGAAAACGCCTGCTTCCTGGTCTTCCTCCCAGGTGGAACGCCTGCTTCCTGGTCTTCTCCCAGGTGGAACGCCTGCTTCCTGGTCTTCTCCCAGGTGGAACGCCTGCTTCCTGGTCTTCTCCCAGGTGGAAAACCGCACCCAGGTTCCTGGTCTTCTCCCAGGTGGAACGCCTGCTTCCTGGTCTTCTCCCAGGTGGGTTGGACGCCTGCTTCCTGGTCTTCTCCCAGGTGGTGGAACGCCTGCTTCCTGGTCTTCTCCCAGGTGGAACGCCTGCTTCCTGGTCTTCTCCCAGGTGGAACGCCTGTTCCTGGTCTTCTCCCAGGTGGAACGCCTGCTTCCTGTCTTCTCCCAGGTGGAACGCCTGCTTCCTGGTCTTCTCCCAGGTGGCTTGCCGCGCGACTGCTCGCCGGCCATCTCCAAGGTGACTTGCTTGCCCCGCTTGTTCACCTTCTCCCAGGTGGCGACGCGCACTGCTCACTGGTCTTCCCAGGTGGCGACGCCCTGCTCACTGGCCATCTCCCAGGTAGCTTGCCGGCACACCCGCTTGTTCACCTCCGAGGTGGCGCGCCTGCTCGCTTGCCGCCATTCCCAGGTAGCTTGCCGGTGTGCCCACTTGCTGGTCGTCTCCCAGTAGCTTGCCTGCTCCCATGCTGGCCGTCTCCCAGGTAGCTTGCCTGCTCCCATGCTGGCCGTCTCCCAGGTAGCTTGCCTGCTCCCATGCTGGCCGTCTCCTAGGTAGCTTGCCAGCACGCCCACTCGCTAGCCTTCTAGGTGGTGCGCCCGCTCGCTGGCCATCTCCAAGGTAGCTTGCCTTCGCACCCGCTTGTTCACCTTCTCCCAGGTAGCTTGTGCGTGTTTTTTGAAACCGAAATCTCTGTAGGAATCCGTGCTCGCCGTCTGTCTCTGTGCCGTGTTTTGGTGTTTGCCTGGATGTAGTTATCACAATTTTTATCGTTTGTCGAATTTCAGGTATCGTTACACCCTGGACGAACTTCCAGCCATGTTACACAAGTTAAAAGGTCGAGCTGAGTCCTTCGACACCTGGGCAAGTAAAGTGCGGCGTGCTCTGGAGTTCCAAGATGGCGGCAAGACAGGTAGAGACTCCCGGCCTTTTTTTGTTTTTGTTTTCTTTGATCTGTTTTGTAATTGTTCTCAATTTTCGTTTTTTTTCCTCAGAGCTCGAACATCTGCGAGTTTTACAGGCCGAGGCTGCAGAGAAGAAATTTGCACAGAATGATTTGTTGCAGGAGCTGAGAAATCTCATCAAAGAAACCGAATCGTGTGTCACCGAGTCCCAGAAACTGCTGGACAAGCCACGCCCAACCAGGTTGGTGGTTTCGGTGTAGGGAAGTGTGAATGTGTGACCGATACTGGAGTGCTGGGTCTTCATTCTAGAGCAGGGGTCTCCAAACTGCGTCCCAGGGCCGATGTGGCCCTGTGCTTGCCTTTTATCTGGTCCTTGGAGCACTGTTCCTCCCACTGACACCAATGACGGGACACTATTCCTCCCACTGATACCAATGATGGGGCACTATTCCTCCCACTGACACCAATGATGGGACACTATTCCTCCCACTGACACCAATGACGGGACACTATTCCTCCCACTGATACCAATGATGGGGCACTATTCCTCCCACTGACACCAATGATGGGGCACTATTCCTCCCCCTGATACCAATGATGGGGCACACTATACCTCCCACTGACACCAATGACGGGACACTATTCCTCCCACTGACACCAATGATGGGGCACTATTCCCCCCACTGATACCAATGATGGGACACTATTCCTCCCACTGACACCAATGATGGGGCACTATTCCTCCCACTGACACCAATGATGGGGCACTATTCCCCCCACTGATACCAATGATGGGGCACTATTCCTCCCACTGACACCAATGATGGGGCACTATTCCTCCCACTGACACCAATGATGGGGCACTATTCCTCCCACTGATACCAATGATGGGACACTATTCCTCCCACTGATACCAATGATGGGGCACTATTCCTCCCACTGACACCAATGATGGGGCACTATTCCTCCCACTGACACCAATGATGGGGCACTATTCCTCCCACTGACACCAATGATGGGGCGCTATTCCTCCCACTGATACCAATGATGGGGCACTATTCCTCCCACTGATAACCAATGATGGGACACTATTCCTCCCACTGACACTAATGATGGGGCACTATTCCTCCCACTGACACCAATGATGGGGCACTATTCCCCTCCTCTGATACCAATGACGGGGCACTATTCCCCCCACTGACACCAATGACGGGACACTATTCCTCCCACTGACACCAATGACGGGACACTATTCCTCCCACTGATACCAATGATGGGGCACTAATTCCTCCCACTGACACCAATGATGGGGCACTATTCCTCCCACTGACGCCAATGATGGGGCACTATTCCTCCCACTGACACCAATGATGGGGCGCTATTCCTCCCACTACTGACACCAATGATGGGGCGCTATTCCTCCCATGACTGATACCAATGATGGGCACTATTCCTCCCACTGACGCCAATGATGGGGCACTATTCCTCCCACTGACGCCAATGATGGGGCACTACTATTCCTCCCACTGACACCAATGATGGGCACTATTCCTCCCACTGACGCCAATGATGGGGCACTATTCCCCCCACTGACGCCAATGATGGGGCACTATTCCCCCCACTGACGCCAATGATGGGGCACCATTCCTCCCACTGACACCAATGATGGGGCACCATTCCTCCTCCCACTGACGCCAATGATGGGGCACTATTCCTCCCACTGACACCAATGATGGGGCACTATTCCTCCCACTGACACCAATGATGGGGCACTATTCCTCCCACTGATACCAATGATGGGGCACTATTCCTCCCACTGACACCAATGATGGGGCACTATTCCTCCCACTGACACCAATGATGGGGCACTATTCCTCCCACTGATACCAAACGATGGGGCACTTCGGTATGAATGTTTTTTGATACGTTTTTCTCCTGTCGGTTTTCTGTAGGAGTAGCACTGCGGTTGTGACTCTGGACAGTTTACATAAGCTCATTCATCGTATCCAAGCTCTTCCCGTGTGTCCTGAATCAGCTGCCAAAGCTGGAGGTAATGCTTCCTGCAGTCTGCTAATATTCAGCAAACTGCGCAGTACAGAGGCGTCATAAAGTTTTTTTTTTTTTTTTTGTTTTTTTTTTTTTTTGTTTTTTTTATTTCTCTCCTTTCTCAGGACCTCTTGGAAAAGGCAAAAGTCTTGCAAGAAGAAGCAAAGAAGTGCTTGCAGTCTCTGCCGGATAGCGCCCCCCAGATGCAGGACATGGTAGAGCGGTGCCGTTCTCTGGGAGTGCTGCCACCGGAAGCCGAGCAGTTGGAGAGGAACATGCGCCAGGGGAGTGTGGCTATCGCGCGGGTTGCGGGCAGCTCTGGTCGCTGGCAGGTCGGGCACGCTTCAGGAATTGCGTTCTCTGCTGCAGGAGGCTGTGGAGGTGGCCGAGAGCCCCGCGGTGGAGAAAGCTCGCAGCGAACTGCAGGATCTGATCTCCATCGCTCTGCGCTGGGAGGAAAAGGCTCAGATGTGCTTGGAGGCCAGGTGATCAGATCTGCGCTCATCAGAACATTCACCACTTCATGTCCAGACGCTTCTCCCCCCCCCCCCCCCCCCCCCCCCTTCTGGCCCGGACGCTTCCCCCCCCCCCCCCCCTTTCTGCCCGGACACGCTTCCCCCCCCCCCCCCCCCCCCCCTTCTGGCCCGGACGCTTCCCCCCCCCCCCCCCCTTCTGGCCCGGACGCTTCCCCCCCCCCCTTCCGGCCCCGAACGCTTCCCCCCCCCCCCCCCCCCCCCCACTTCCGGCCCGGACGCTTCCCCCCCCCCCCCTTCCGGACCCGGACGCTTCCCCCCCCCCCCCCACCCCCTTCCGGCCCGGACGCTTCCCCCCCCCCCCCCCTTCCGGCCCGGACGCTTCCCCCCCCCCCCCCTTTTTCCCCCCCCCCCCCTATCACGGCCCGGACGCTTCCCCCCCCCCCCCCCCCCTTCCCCCGGACGCTTCCCCCCCCCCCCCCCCCGGACGCTTCCCCCCCCCCCCCCCCCCCTTCTGGCCCGGACGCTTCCCCCCCCCCCCCCCCCCCCCCCCCCCCCCCCTTCCGGCCCGGACGCTTCCCCCCCCCCCTTCCGGCCCGGACGCTTCCCCCCCCCCCCCCCCCCCCCCCCCCCTTCGCTTCCCCGCTTCCCCCCCCCCCCCCCCCACCCTTCCGGCCCGGACGCTTCCCCCCCCCCCCCCCCCCCCCCCTCCGTTCCGGCCCGGACGCTTCCCCCCCCCCCCCCCCCTTCCGGCCCGGACGCTTTCCCCCCCCCCCCCCCCCTTCCGGCCGCTTCGCTTCCCCCCCCCCCCCTTCCGGCCCGGACGCTTCCCCCCCCCCCCCTTCTTCCGGCCCGGACGCTCCCCCCCCCCCCCCCCCCCCGGCCCGGGGACGCTTCCCCCCCCCCCCCCTTCCCCGGCCCGGACGCTTCCCCCCCCCTTCCGGCCCGGACGCTTCCCCCCCCCCTTCCGGCCCGGACGCTTCCCCCCCCACCCCCCCCGGACGCTTCCCCCCCCCCCCCCCCTTCCGGTCCCCCCGCTTCCTCCCCTCCCCCCCCCCCCCCCCCCCTTCCGGTCCGCACGCTTCTCTCCCCTCTCCCCCCCCCCCCCCCCCCCCCCTTCCGGTCCGCACGCTTCCCCCCCCCCCCCCCCCCCCCTTCCCCCCCCCCCTTCGGTCCGCACGCTTCTCTCCGCCCGGACATTGCTCTCCCTCCCCCCCCCCCCCCCCCCCCCCCTTCCGGTCCGCACGCTTCTCTCCCCTCCCCCCCCCCCCCCCCCCCCCCCCCCCCCACCCCCCTTCCGGTCCGCACGCTTCCACCCCCCCCTTCCAGTCCAGGCCAGCTTTCAGCGCTGTCACACTTTGAATGACAATTGCGCGGTCATGCAACACTGTACCCATATGAATTTTTTTTAGCATTTTTTTTGAGACAGATAAAACTTTTTTATTTTGGTGGTATTTAATCACTGCTGGGATTTTTATTTTCTTTGCTATATAAATGAAATGTCCAATTTTGAAAAAAAAGGTGTTTTTTTCTTATAAAAGTTTGGAAATAAATAATCTTTCTGCATAAATCTTGGCCAAAATGTATTCAGTTATCTTTTTAGTAAAAGAAAATAACCCAAATTAGTTTATAACCAAAAATTATCATTTTTCAAAATATATTTTTTTACTTTTTTTTTTTTTTTTTTTTTTTTTTTTTTTTTACATACCGTCACCCTAGCGGTACAGTGTCACCATAGTGACTCTGTACTACTTGTGGGGGGTGATTATTTTTTTTGTTTTCCTTTTTTTACACTGATCTCCTTTACACCCATAAAGGATGTAAATGCAATCATTTCTCTGTCTTTAGCTGCATTCTTGCAGCCATTGAGAACTACTATGTAAGCTGTGATTGGTCACAGCTTGTCACATGGTACAAGGCTGTTGTGAATAGCCCTGTACCATGTGACCTCTGTGATCATTCACGGATTTCACAACCATTTCTTCTTCAGCCATTGAGAACTACTGTGTGAGCTGTGATTGGTCACAGCTTGTCACATGGTACAGGGCTGTTGTGACAATCCCTGTACCATGTGATCATTCACAGATTTCACAAGTAGTACGCAATGATGTCAGAAGTGACATCGTGTTTACTATATTTATGTGATCACTGATTGGCCAATCGATGATCACATGATCAGGACCTCACACAGAGGTCCCGGGACTTACAGCAATCGGCGTTCCGGAGGACACAGCGGGCACCAGATCCCATGGAGCGGCACAAGCTGTGAATGTGGGGGCCAGATGGGAAGTGGTTACATGAAGCCGTATTGGAGGATCGCTCACTTTAATTGTTTCCTTTTTATTCGTTTTTCAGACACAAGCATCCGCCTGCAACACTGGAGGCGATCATCAAAGAGGCGGAGAACATCCCGGTGCAGCTCCCCAATACCCTCAGCCTGAAGGAGGCCCTTTTTAAGGCCAGAGCCTGGAGTGCCGATGTGGATGAGATTCAGGTAAAGGGTGACACCACCGTGGCCACCTATACAGGACCTACGCAGGACCGCAAACCCACCACGTGATAGAATGTCGTGTGTGTGTGCCGGGATTGTGTGCACGATGGCAGATCTGGTGCTGGGGTTGAGGCCTCTCTGTGTGCTTCTCCTAGAGCGGGGACCATTACCCTTGCCTGGATGACCTGGAGGGACTGGTGGCTGTGGGCCGGGACTTACCTTTGAAAATGGACGAGCTGCATCAGCTAGAGGTACAAGTGACCGCCGCGCACTCCTGGAGGGACAAGGCGGCCAAGACCTTCCTGAAGAAGAACTCGTGCTTCACCCTACTGGAGGTACGAAAGTCTGCCTAGAAAAATATCGACTCCATGTATTTGCTGCATGATGGTGAAACAGTGTATTGTACCTTTATACTGACCTGAGGCCAATCACAGTCCTGCCCTGGGTCTGTCTCTCACCGCGCTGCTCTCCTTTTTCTTTTTTTTTTTCTTTTTTCATTTTTCCCTTTTTTTTTTTTCTTTTCATTTTTCCCTTTTTTTTTTTTTCTTTTCATTTTTCCCTTTTTTTTTTTCTTCTTTTCATTTTTTCCTTTTTTTTTCTTCATTTTTCCTTTTTTTTTTTCTTCATTTTTCCCTTTTTTTTTTTTTCAATTCTTCATTTTTCTTCTTTTTTTTTTTTCCCTTCTTTTTTCCCTTTTTTCTTCATTTTTCCCTTTTTCTTCTTTTCATTTTTCCCTTTTTTTCTTCTTTTCATTTTTCCCTTTTTCTTTTTTCTTCTTTTCCTTTTTCATTTTTCCCTTTCTTTCTTTTCATTTTTCCCTTTTTCTTCTTTTCTTCTTTTCATTTTTCCCTTTTTCTTCTTTTAACATCCCATTTTTCTTTTTTTTTTTCATTTTTCCTTTTCATTTTTCCTTTTTTTTTCCTTTTTTTCCCTTTTTTCTTTTCATTTTTCCCTTTTTTTTTCTTCTTTTCATTTTTCCCTTTTCTTTTTTCTTTTTCCTTTTCATTTTTTTCCTTTTTTCTTCTTTTCATTTTCCCTTTTTTTCTTTTCTTCTTTTCTTCATTTTTCCCTTTTTTTTTTTTTTTTTTTCTCCTCACAGGACACAGTGTCAGCACAAGGTAGCTATTGACTTCTGCTGCTGTCACTCAGATCCTGTGAAGAGGGAGCTGGGCTGTGTGTGCTAGGAGGGTTTTTTTTTTTTTTTTTAAATTGGGGGGGGGGGGGGGGGGGTGCTGGGATGGTGATTTGGGTTGTGCTAGGAGAGGGAGGCTGTGCTAGGGATTTGGGTGGGTTTTGCTAGGAGTGGGGTTTTTTTTAATGGGGAGGTTGTGCTAGGAGGGGGGGATTTAGGGAGGTTGTGCTAGGAGGAGGAATTTAGGAGGGGGGGGGGATTTACGGGAGTTGTGCTGGGGGGGATTTACGGGAGTTGTGCTGGGGGGGATTTAGGGGAGTTGTGCTAGGAGGGGGGGGGGATTTAGGGGGGGTTGTGCTAGGAGGGGGGGGGGGATTTAAAGGGGGGTTGTGCTAGGAGGGGGGATTTAGGGGAGTTGTACTAGGAGGGGGGATTTAGGGGAGTTGTGCTAGGAGGGGGGATTTAGGGGAGTTGTGCTAGGAGGGGGGGATTTAGGGAGGTTGTGCTAGGAGGGGGGGATTTTGGAGAGGTTCCTAGAGGTGGGGGGAACTTTTGGGGGGTTGTGCTAGGAGGGGGGGATTTTGGGGGGTTGTGCTAGGAGGGGGGATTTTGGGGGGGTTTTAGTTGTGGGAGAAGGGGATTTTCGGGGGTTGTGCTAGGAGAAGGGGATTTGGGGGTTATGCTAGGAGGGGGATTTAGGGGGGTTCTAGGTGGGGGATAGGAACTTGGGGGGTTGTGATAGGTGGGGGAACTTTAGGGGGGTTGCGCTAGGAGGGGGGGGATTCAGGGGAGTTGTGCTAGGAGGGAGGGGGAATTTAGGGGGGTTGTGCTAGGGGGGGGGGATTTAGGGGGATTGTTCTAGGAGGGGGGATGGGAGGCAATAGTGCTATAAGAGGGGTGATTTGGGGGGGGGGGGGGGGGGGGGAGTTACATCCTTCAGACACATGAACTCAGAGTACATTTTAGGGCTTGTTCACACCACATGCAGTTCGGAACGTGTGAAGTTGCATGTTTCCCCCCCCCCACCCCACCCCCTACTCTTTATAGGCTGCTGGTAATTGGTGTCGGTGAGTACTTTGGATCGATAGTCTGGCTTTGGACCTTGGTGTCCTCCTCCCTTCCCCTAAGTCCCCATTGCGGAACGCCATGAGTTGGATGCCTCCTCACCCGGTTGTCCGTTTTGTAGGTGCTGTGCCCCAGTGCGGATGTTTCCTCCAGCAATGTGAAGAGGGCTCAGTGGAGGAAGGAGAAGGAGCGAGGTCTGTACCGGTCAGACATGGAGAGCCTGGGGCTGTCTGCACAGGACCTTCGGGACCCCGGCTGCATAGTGAGTACAGTCCGTAATGCGGAATGAGCGCCATGTAACGCCCGCTGCGCTCAGGTAACGGACATTCGTGTCTCTCTCAGGTCCTGGCCTTCAAAGAAGGTGAACAGAAGGAGAAGGCCGGCATCCTGAGGCTCCGGACGATGAACTCCTCCATGGAGCGACGTTGCGTTTGCGCCTGCGGCGAGCCGCCGGGGGAACTCATGGTCCGCTGCGAACTCTGCCAGGACTTATTTCACGGGCATTGCGTCCCCACCCCCAGACTGACTTCTCACCGCGGCACACACTCCTCCCCTTCGCCGGCCTGGTGGGAATGGGACAGCCGCTTCTTGTGCCCGCTGTGCGTACGGTCGCGCCGCCCCCGGCTGCAGACCATCCTGTCTCTGTTGGTCGCTCTGCAGAAGCTGCCCGTACGGCTGCCGGAGGGGGAGGCGCTGCAGTGTTTAACGGAAAGGGCGATGAGCTGGCAAGATCGAGCGCGCCGGGTCTTGGCGACTCCGGAGATATCGGCCGCCGCAGCCACCTTGGCCGAGAAACGGCAGAAGCTGCAACACAGCAAAGACCCTCAGGCACTGAGAGAGACGACCTGCAACGAGCAGACGCCTGTAAGTAACTGTCATTTAAAGGGGGAGTACTGCCCAGAGATGCTACTGACACCCCGAAAAAAATATCTTGTGTGTATGTGTCTGTCAGTCACCAGGTCCCAACCGGTGAGTACTCGCCGGCACCCGGTGATTGCTTGCTATGGGCACACCCGCTGCGCCATGTGTCCATTCACTCGGCCCCGTCCCCTCTTCTCATTGGCTGTGACTGACAGCAGTGGGAGCCAATGGCTCCCACTTCTATCTCGGCCAATGAGAGGGAGTCCCGAGCAGGAGCAGACTGGACCATTTGGAAACTCTGGCATTGCCCGAGGGCCGGGGGTCAGTAGGGGGCCCCATGAGATGCCCCTGGTACCTTTTTCATAGGCTTTTTTTTTGAGTTTGGGCAAGAACACAGGGGCCCCATGATCCCTATTGCCTGGGGGCCCCATGAGTTGTCAGTCACCCCTGGGCCCGAGACTTCAGTGCACATCGCTGGATCGGGAGGGGGCTTTTCTTTGATGACTATTGGGGGGGCTCAGTTTGGTGTGTATTGCTGGAGAGTTTTTTTTTTTTTTTTTTTTTTTTTTTTACTTTGGGAGGGTGCATGTGATCAGCACAGGGCCAATCAGAGACGGACAGAGGGTCAGGGGTTATGCAGCCTCATAGAACAATCAGGGGAGAATGAAAACTCCTCCTAGACACTTCAACCAGTGCTCGACTGGACACTGATAGAAGTCACAAGACTGCTATATACTGCTGATGAGAAAAGGGATTTAGAAGTTTATATTTTACTAAAATAATCGCATTTTCATGTTGTATGTACTGTGGGAGACCAGGTATAGTGAATGCGGGGGTCCGGGGAGAGCGGATATAGTGAATGCGGGGTCCGGGGAGAGCGGATATAGTGAATGCGGGGTCGGGGAGAGCGGGATATAGTGAATGCGGGGTCCGGGGAGAGCGGATATAGTGAATGCGGGATCCGGGGAGAGCGGATATAGGGAATGCGGGGTCCGGGGAGAGCGGATATAGGGAATGCGGGGTCCGGGGAGAGCGGATATAGGGAATGCGGGGTCCGGGGGAGAGCGGATATAGGGAATGCGGGGTCCGGGGAGAGCGGATATAGGGACATGCATTCCGGTCCGTTTTGGATGCGTTTTCCGCGTTCCAGTATAGTTCTTTGCAGAAAAAATGCAGCCTGTTCTTTTTTGTGTTTTTTTTCTGCAATTGCAACTGCAAGCACTGATGTGAACTATGACATTGGCATCCATATACCCTACTTGTGCGTTTTGGATGCTGCAAAAAAGCAACTGAAACGCATGTGGTGAGAACCCAGGCAGTCATCAGGCTTTGTCACTCGATGCAGCTAAAGCCTTTGTACCCCTGGAAGAACTTTGAAATGTTTTTTGCTTTTTGGGAACCATCTTTTGTTTGTTTTTGTTTTTGATTTTCTCTTTGTGTTTTTTTTTTTGTTCTTGTTTTGTTTTTTGGGTTTTTTTTTTTTTTTTTTTTGTTCCTGGTTGCCTGGATTTTCAAACACATCCAGGGATTAGGGGGGGGGCTTGATTTCTGAATACTTTGCTCTTTAACAGGGTGCAAGGTAGGAGTGCCTCCTGGTCACCTCCCTGAATCACTATTGCCATTACAGTGGAATTCCAGGCTAACCGTCTTAACAACGCTCCCTCCTCCGTCCTCACACCTACGCTGACTAACCTGTGTCAGCCCACAGCAGCTGCAGGGGAGAAGAGAGAACCTCACAGCATCTGGAATACCTGAGCGGTGATGTCACCCATAGGCTCCTATGGGACATCCATTTTTTTTATTTATTTTTTTTGAAGCTCCTCTTCTCCCCTGCAGCAGCCACCATCGACTGATACAGGAGAGCCGGATCAGTTGCCCGGACCAGGCTGAATATAGGTAAGTACGCACGTCTTTCATACACAGGAGGCAGCATAGGTGTTAGGAGGCGGGGAAGAAGAAGCAACAAAATATAACTAGTTGGGTTCAGCCTGGACTTCTGCTTTAAACCCCTTGTGGCCCCACAATGCCATTTGAAGGGTTCAATTCCGGTGGTTTTTAATGGGCGGGGTCGCCTCTCCTAGTCAAAAGGACACTTTTGGAGCTTGACAGGGATACTACCATGTAGCGGTGCACCAAAATATAAAATTTTGTGTTTTATTTTTTTGTTTTTGTTTTTTTTGTTTGGACCAAAAATTCAGGATGCATTTGGTCAAAACTGAAATGGACTTTTTATTTTATTATATTTTTTTTTCTTTAATTTAAAAAAAAAAATATAAAAAAAATATAATATATTATTTGGAAAATTATTATTTATTATTAATAAAAAATATAAATATTATTAATTTAATAGAAAAATATATATTATTATTAATAAAAAAAATATATATTATTAATAAAAAAAATAAATATATTATTATTATTAATAAAAAAAATATATATTTATTATTATTATTATTATTAATAAAAAAATATATTATATATTATTAATAAAAAAAAAAAAATAAATATATATTATTATATATATTTATATATATATATATATATATATATATATATATATTATTTTTTTATTAATATAATTATATATATATATATATATATATATTATATTTATATTAATAAAAAAAAATATATATATATATATATATATATATATATATTTTTTTTTATTAAATCATAATATATATTTTTTTTATTAATAATAATTTATATTTTTTTTATTAATAATAATAATAATAATAATATATATATTTTTTATTAATAATAATATATATATATTTTTTTTCAATAATAATATATATTATATATTTTTTTTTTTTTTTTATTAATATAATATATATATAATTTTTTTTTTATATTTTTTTTTCTTTCTTTTTTTTTTAAATTAATAAAAAAAAACTATATATATATATATATTAGTATATATATATAAAATATATATATATATATAATTTCAATTATATTCAACCTTTTAATTTAATATGAATTTATTTTCAGCCATTTACCTTGCCCCTGAGCAGTTTTTGGCAGCGCTTTGAAAAAAAAAAGAAAAGGCGCACGAAAAATGTGTCCCCTTTTTTTTTTTAAATTCAATGTATGTTTTCACACTGGTCCGTTGCGCTTCCCTCGCGGTGTGATAAAAATCCTGCTTGCTGCATTTTTGGTGCATATTTGTCAAGTGTTTAAAAAAAAAAAAAAAAAAAAATCGCATCAAGAACGCACTTCCCCCATTTGAGGCCCGGTTCACACAATGCGTCTTTTAGGGCTTTTTGCAGAAATGCACTACAGTCCATTTAACGTTTTTTTTTTTTTTTTTTTTTTTTTTGTTTTTTTTTTTTTTTGTGTTTTTTTTGTGTTTTTGAACTGCTGCGTTTTGGAAAGTGTCAGGGACTCTTAAATGCAAAACTCTGTGTTTTTGGTTCACAAGTCTTCAATGGAGACGCTGCAGAAATTGTAGTTTTTACATGTTTGCCGTGTTTTGCGGTTTGTAATCTGCCCGGCAACAAGTTGTCCAATAATAAAAACAAAAAGCATCAAAAAAAACGCCCTGCAAAAGGGACAAAATGCAAACTGCATTGGTGTGTACCAGGCACAATCCATCAAAAACGCACACGTATTGTATTTTTGATGCGTTTTGCATATTTCAACTGCCCAGCAACAAGTTGGGCAAAAACAAAAAAAAAAAAGTTAAACGTGCGTTTCAAGTTGTCCAATAAAAAAAAAAAAAAAGCATTAAAAAAACGCCCTGCAAAACAGACAAAACACAAACTGCATTGGTGTGAACCGGGCCTGAAATGCATTGAAAACCCATCAAAAACATGTGTTGCGCTTTTGATGCGTTTTTAATCTGGCAAGGAACAAGTTGGGAAAATTTTTTTTTTTTTTTTTTTTTTTTTTTTTTAAAAAAAAGCAAATAGAGTCAAAATGTGAATGCAAAACAGACAAAACAAACTGCATTGGTGTGAACCGGGCCTGAAATGCATCAAAACCCCATAAAAAATGTTCATGCTCTTTGCGTTTTTCATGCGTTTTGCATTTTTCATCTAGTCAGGAACAAGTTGGGCAAAATAAAAAACCGCAAAACAAGTCAAACGTGTCCAAAATGGACAAAACACAAACTGCATTGTTGTGAGCCAGGCATGAAAAAGCATTGAAAACCCATAAAAAAAATGCACAGGTGTTGCGTTTTTGATGCGTTTTGCATATTTAATCTGCCCAGCAACAAGTTTGGCAGAAAAAAAAAAAATAAACCGCAAAACATGAATGCCAAACAAATTGCATTGGTGTGAACCAGGCCTGAAATGCATCGAAATCCCATCAAAAATGCGTTTTTCATGCGTTTTTTTCATTTTAATCTGGTCAATAAGTTGGGCAAGAAAAAAAAAAAAATTAAAACCACAAGTAGTCAAAACCGCACAGCAAAACAGACAAAATGAAATCTGCATCGGTGTGAACTAGGCCTGACATGCATAGAAACCCCATAAAAAATGCGCACACGCGTTGCGTTTTTTATCTGGTCAACAAGTTGGGCAAGAAAAACGCAAATGGTCAAAACATAAATGCAAAAGCAACTGCAAAACAAACTGCATTGGAGTCTACCAGGCATGAAATGCATTGAAAACCCATAAAAACCGCACACGTGTTGCGTTTTTGATGCGTTTTACATTTTCAATTTGGCCAGCAACAAGTTGGGCAAAAAAGAAAAAAACGTGCATGCAAAAATGCAAAACTGACAAAACACAAACTGCAAACCAGGCCTAAAAATGCATCGAAAACCCTATCAAAAATGCGCACGCGTTGCGTTTTGCGTTTTTAATCTGGTCAACCTCAAACGCAAATAGTCAAAAACGTGAATGCAAAAACGCACAGCAAAATGCAATCTGCATCGGTGTGAACCAGGCCTGACATGCATCAAAAACGCGCACGTGTTGCGTTTTTTTTGACTCGCGCGACCTATGAAAAACCTCAAACGTGGGAAAATTGCAGCTAAAAATCGTGCGTCTTCGGCGGCCATGATTGGAATTTTTTTTTTTCCTATCGTAAAAGGACCGATAACACTCTTTTGGGCCAGTTTCGGCCTCTCAGCGCACCCCCGCCACCGCGCATATTTTGGTGTCCTTCAGACACTTGAACCCCGTGTAGATTTTTCGTCTGCTGTGACGGGTTCTCATGTATTCATCCCCTCTTTGGCTTTTTTTCGGCAGCTCCCCCACGAGAATGGAGACTCTCACCTGGAGAACGGCGCGGCAATGCCAGGTAACGTGACCGCCTCTTACGTGTTTCGGCGCCCTCTGGCTCCTGGTTGCACGCACTAACTTGTCTCGTCTTTCCGTCACCCTGAAGATCTGAATGCCATGGCTGCTCTCCTCCCTCAAATTGAAAAGACGCCGGTCCTGGAAATGTCCATCGGTTCTCGGGCGCTGTTGGAGGACCTGATGCTGGAAGGGGACCTTCTCGAAGTCACGCTTGAGGAGGAGCTGAGTATCTGGAGACTGCTGCAAGCATCGCAGACGGCGTGTGTGGAGAGGCTAAAGACTCTTATAGAAGTAAGACACCCATGAAACCGTCCCTGTAGGCCCCGTGCCGGTCAGGTGGACCGTATGGTGTTACCGGCATCTCCTAGGTCTGCTGGTCTTCATAGTCTATCTGGTTGTGATGGTAAAATTGATCTCGTTGGCTTTGGGAGCCTCAAGAGCCACGGTCCTGCCAGGGTTTGAAGTTTTCTGACTTTCAAGAATGAGGTGGTGTTTGTAAGGCCCTGGACCCAAATGTAAGAACGGGTTTCGGCTTTTGAAGGCCAGGGTGATTCTAGGAGGTCCTTGGAGGGATCTGAAAAGTCTATAGAGAGAAGAGGACTGTGGGGGGGCAGAACTCTGAAACATCCAGGCTTTGCAACCATCTTGTTTCCTGGCCATGTTTCTGGGTCGAAAATCCCCCTTTATTGGGGCTCACAGGCTGGTTATTGAGGATAAAATAAAGTGGACGTAGGGTGGTGATTGAGGATACTGGACGTAGGGTGGTGATTGAGGATACTGGACGTAGGGTGGTGATTGAGGATACTGGACGTAGGGTGGTGATTGAGGATACTGGACGTAGGGTGGTGATTGAGGATGCTGGACGTAGGGTGGTGATTGAGGATGCTGGACGTAGGGTGGTGATTGAGGATGCTGGACGTAGGGTGGTGATTGAGGATGCTGGACGTAGGGTGGTGATTGAGGATACTGGACGTAGGGTGGTGATTGAGGATACTGGACGTAGGGTGGTGATTGAGGATGCTGGACGTAGGATGGTGATTGAGGATGCTGGACGTAGGGTGGTGATTGAGGATGCTGGACGTTGGATGGGTGATTGAGGATGCTGGACGTAGGAGGGTGATTGAGGATGCTGGACGTAGGAGGGTGATTGAGGATGCTGGACGTAGGATGGTGATTGAGGATGCTGGACGTAGGATGGTGATTGAGGATGCTGGACGTAGGATGGTGATTGAGGATGCTGGACGTAGGATGGTGATTGAGGATGCTGGACGTAGGATGGTGATTGAGGATGCTGGACGTAGGATGGTGATTGAGGATGCTGGACGTAGGATGGTGATTGAGGATGCTGGACGTAGGATGGTGATTGAGGATGCTGGACGTAGGATGGTGATTGAGGATGCTGGACGTAGGATGGTGATTGAGGATGCTGGACGTAGGGTGATTGTGATTGAGGTGCTGGGACGTAGGATGGTGATTGGGGATGCTGGACGTAGGATGGTGATTGAGGGTGCTGGACCGTTATGGTGATTGAGGATGCTGGACGTAGGATGGTGATTGAGGATGCTGGACTAGGATGGTGATGAGGATGCTGGACGTAGGATGGTGATTTGAGGATGCTGGACGTAGGATGGTGATTGAGGATGCTGGACGTAGGATGGTGATTGAGGATGCTGGACGTAGGATGGTGATTGGGATGCTGGACGTAGGATGGTGATTGAGGATGCTGCTGACGTAGGATGGTGATTGAGGTATGCTGGACGTAGGATGGTGATTTGGGTGCTGGACGTAGGATGGAAATTGGGTTGTACGTAGGGTGATACGCTGGACCGTGGGATGGTGATTGGGTACGCTGGACGTAGGATGGTGATTTGGGTACGCTGGACGTAGGGGTGATTGGGTACGCTGGACCGTAGGATGGTGATTGGGTACGCTGGACGTAGGATGATTGGGTACGCTGGACGTAGGATGGTGATTGGGTACGCTGGACGTAGGATGGTGATTGGGTACGCTGGACCGTAGGATGGTGATTGGGGTATGCTGGACGTAGGATGGGCGATTGGGGTACGCTGGACGTAGGTGGTGATTGGGGATGCTGGACCGTAGGATGGTGGGGTACGCTGGGGGATGGTGATTGGGTACCGGAGGTGGATGGTGATTGGGGATGCTGGACCGTAGGTGGGCGATTGGGTACGCTGGACGTAGGATGGTGATTGGGTATGCTGGACGTAGGATGGTGATTGGGTACGCTGGACCGTAGGATGGTGATTGGGGATGCTGGACCGTAGGATGGTGATTGGGGATGCTGGACGTAGGATGGGCGATTGGGGACGCTGGACGTAGGATGGTGATTGGGTACGCTGGACGTAGGATGGTTGATGGGGTATTGGGCGACGTGTTGATTGGGATGCTGGACCGTAGGTGGTGATTGGGTACGCTGGACCGTAGGGTGATTGGGTACGCCTGCTGGACCGTAGGTGGGCGATTGGGGATGCTGGACGTAGGGCGGCGATTGGGGATGCTGGACCGTAGGTGGCGCGATTGGGGATGCTGGACGTAGGTGGGCGATTGGGGATGCTGGACCGTAGGGGGCGATTTTGGGATGCTTTACCGTAGGTGGTGTGATCGAGGATGCTGGGCCTTTTCAGGGTGTGTGGGGGGGTAATTCTCTGGAGGGTGAGGGGTTAAGGAGCAGGCTAAAGTTTTCCAGCAGATTTTCTGATTTGCTTATGCAGGCCATACACGGTTCGAATTCCGAACAATTTTTCATCCGAAAACCGTTCGCGCTCGGTAATCCGATGGCGCCATCAATGATTTGCGAAAATCGGTTGACCGAGTCATAAAGTTCCCCCCATATAACAGGCGAAACTTCTGTTCCTTCCAGGTCACGGCTCATGGCGCATATTCTTTTCGAAAAAAAAACGATCGTATGATTTGACCATCAGCAATTCGAAAATCTGACGTTTTTCACAATTTTTCCAACATGCCCGATCACCTGAAAAGGTGGAGGAACCACAAAAATCAACCGGTGCCATTGACCCAACTAACAGAGCAAAAATCGGCCGATTTATCCTTAGGTCTGATTTTCGGATGAAAAATCGGTCAAATTTTGACCCATGTATGGCCGGCGTTTTGAATATACTTGAGGTTGTCCTTGTGGGAGTTTTTATGTAGCTCTCACGTGTTCTGTAGCGGCGAACCAAACGCGTCCCCCTGGAGGCCGCGGTAATGTTAGAAGGCGAAGCCGGCAAGAACCGTGGCCTCAAATCTGTGTTGTGTCTGACAGATCGAACGGTGCGAACGGAGGGCCAACCGCCTGAAGGGAAAAGACCACGAGAAGAGGAAGAAGAGGAGGAGCGAGCGGGCGGAAGGGGGTTACCCCCCACCAACACTCCAGAAGGAGGAGGTGGGACCAAAGAGAAGTCGCAGTGATCGGGCACTGGACGCACCTCCTGATAAAGAGAGCCCGAGGAAAGTGGGGACAGAAAGCAACCAGAATGGAGAGGTGAGTTGTAGACGATTGGTGGTGGTGGGGGGGACTGCGACACGGAATTCAATGACACGGCGGGGAGGAGGTAAATGTGTGGATCGGGGTCATGTGGTTAAAAAAAACAAAACAAAAAAAAACATTCATGTTCCATGTATGTCCAGCTTTGAAATGTTGAACCTCAATGGTCAACTGGTATCTCCTAGCGTCTAGAAGCTGAGCTAGATGACTGACCTCCGAAGATGATGGTGGGTTTGGTGCCGATGGATACTACCTGCCTTAGTCCCCGGTCACACCGATCCGACTTTGGAATCGTGCGACTGCCTGTGAATTCGAACGATTTCAAAAGTCGGATGCCACTTCGACTTGAGGTGCAGCTTGCAGGACACGGATGTCTATGGAGGTCGCACCGTAATGTAGACCTGTCTCCACCTCTGTTCCTTCAAAGAGGGCAAGTGGAGGACATCGGACTAGTCACTTGCGTTACCAGTGTTCTCCTTGGCGCTGATCCTCCCCCATTACTGACATGTTCTGCACTGTGTTTGTATAGAGGCGGCCATCTTGGAAGGGGCAAGGTTTTGCTTCCTCATACCAGAGCCTCCAGCGAGGAGAACACCACAGTAGTGACCTCCAGATTCTACTCCAAATGTCCATTCCAACTTGAGGTGCAGCTTGCAGGACACGGATGTCTATCCAAGTCGCACTGTAATGTATATCTATTTCCCCCCCCATTACTGGTTTGTTCTGTATAGAGGTGGCCATCTTGGAAGGAGCAAAGTTTTGCTTCCTCATACCAGAGCCTCCAGCAAGGAGAACACCACCCTAGTGACCTCACCAAATCTCCATTCCGACTTGAGGTGCAGCTTGCAGGACACGGATGTCTATGCCAGTCTCACTGTAATGTATATCTATCTCCACCCCCCATTACTGACTTGTTCTGCATAGAAGCGGCCATCTTGGTAGGGGCAGGGTTTTGCTTCTTCATACCAGAGCCTCCAGCGAGGAGAACACCACAGTAGTGACCTCACCAAATCTTCATTCCGACTTGAGGTGCAGCTTGCAGGACACGGATGTCTATGCAAGTCGCACTGTAATGTATATCTATCACACCCCCCCCCCCAATTACTGGTTTGTTCTGCACTGTCTGTATAGAGGTGGCCATCTTGGTAGAAGCAAGGTTTTGCTTCCTCATACCAGAGCCTCCAGCAAGGAGAACACAGTGACCTCACCAAATCTCCATTCCGACTTGAGGTGTCTGTGCAAGTCGCAGTGTAATGTATATCTATCTCCACCCCCCCCCCCCCCCCCCCCCCCCCCCCCCCCCCCTCCCCCCCCCCCCCATTACTGACTTGTTCTGCACTGTGCCTGTATAGAGGCGGCCATCTTGGTAGGGGAAAGCTTTTGCTTCCTCATACCAGAGCCTCCAGCAAGGAGAACACCACCGTAGTGACCTCACCAGATCCCACTCCAAATCTCCATTCCAACTTGAGGTGTGGCTTGTAGGACACGGGTGTCTATGCAAGTCGCACTGTAATGTATATCTATCTCCCCCCACAATTACTGGTTTGTTCTGCACTGTCTGTATAGAGGCGACCATCTTGGTAGAAGCAACGTTTTGCTTCCTCATACCAGAGCCTCCAGCAAGGAGAACACCACCGTAGTGACCTCACTAGATCCCACTCCAAATCTCCATTCCAACTTGAGGTGCAGCTTGCAGGACACGGATGTCCATGCAAGTCGCACTGTAATGTATATCTCCCCCCCCCAATTACTGGTTTGTTCTGTATAGAGGTGGCCATCTTGGAAGGGGCGGGGGGTTTTTCTTCCTCATACCAGAGCCTCCAGGGAGGAGAACACCACATTAGTGACCTCACCAAATCTCTATTCCGACTTGAAGTGCAGCTTTCAGGACACGGATGTCTATGCAAGTCTCACTGTAATGTAATGTATATCTAGCTCCACCCCCCCCCCCCCCCCCCCCCCGACTTGTCCTGCACTGTCTGTATAGAGGCGGCCATCTTGGTAGGGGCAAGGTTTTGCTTCCACATACCAGAGCCTCCAGCAAGGAGAACACCACCGTAGTGACCTCACCAGATCCCACTCCGAATCTCCGTTCCAACTTGAGGTGCAGCTTGCAGGACACGGGATGTCTATGCAAGTCGCACTGTAATGTATATCTATCCCCCCCCCCCCCCATTAGACTGGTGGCCATCTTGGTAGGGGCAAAGGTTTTGCTTCCACATACCAGAGCCTCCAGCAAGGAGAACACCACCGTAGTGACCTCACCAGATCCCACTCCGAATCTCCGTTCCAACTTGAGGTGCAGCTTGCAGGACACGGATGTCTATGCAAGTCGCACTGTAATGTATATCTATCCCCCCCCCCCCCCATTACTGGTTTGTTCTGCACTGGTGGCCATCTTGGTAGGGGCAAGTTTTTGCTTCCTCATACCAGAGCCTCCAGGGAGTGACCTCACCAGATCCCACTCCAAATCTCCTGTGACCAGCAGTCCAAGGTCTTCGATCCCACACTACAGAAGTGCAGCTTCCATCAGACCTGGTTCACATTCGGTCTTGTGGGCCCAGAACTTGTTTTAGGAGGTGTCAACCGCACCTCACTTTTTTTTTTTTTTTTTTTATTTTTTTTTTTTCTCTTTTCATCTTGCAGCGTTTGTGACACTCAGCCCGATGACCGGACGCTCTCCAAAACTGGGAAGGTGACACTCTTACCAGGCAACACGTTCAGTTTTTTTTTTACCTCGCTGAAGAATGGTGAGAGGCAACTGTTGGGGGGGTGATGAGACCCCGGGACCCCCTCCTCTCTACCTCTTACACGGCATTCTGTTCTCCCTTCTCCCCTGAAGATTGGGGGGAGGGGGTGGGGGGGTACCTCTCTGGGGACATCTGGTTGAAGCTGGTGCTACCTTCATCACACGACAATTGTCAGTACTTGCCTATGGACTTGTGGACACTAGACACGTGGGGGGGGGGGGCCTTTTCTATATGCGTCTCAAAGCAATTACCCTGGCGAGGCCCCGAAGGGAGTTGTGCCAGAGGCCCCTTGTCTATCCTGAAGGAACGGGGGACCCCCTGATGAGCATGTTTATTTTTACCACCCCTCTTCTGTCCTCTAAAGACTACAAGACCAGGAGCAGCTTCTGGTGCCACGTGGACGGGGGCTTCTGGTGCCACGTGGACGGGGGCTTCTGGTGCCACGTGGACGGGGGCTTCTGGTGCCACGTGGACGGGGGCTTCTGGTGCCACGTGGACGGGGGCTTCTGGTGCCACGTGGACGAGGGCTTCTGGTGCCACGTGGACGGGGGCTTCTGGTGCCACGTGGACGGGGGCTTCTGGTGCTGGACGGGGCTTCTGATGTCACAAGGAAAGTGGAACGTTCAATCATTAATTTTTTTTTTTTTATTATTATTTTTTTCTTTTGGGCTTGGGAGGGGGTTACCTATTTTTTTATTTATTCTCTTCTCCTCCTCGTGTTTGATAGTTTCACTAACTTCCCTGTTTTTTTTCCTCGTCCTCCTTCATAGTCCAGGATTCACAGGGCTTTCTCTACACCTACCCCCCCCCCCCCCCCCCCCCCCCCCCCCCCCCCCCCCCCAAGATATGTTCACTTTGTTCAGGACACTTTTGTTTAAAAAGTAAAAAAAAAAAAAAGAAAAAAATTTCTAAGTAAATGTAAAAGGTTCAAAATTTACCCTTTAAAAACTCCCTTCTGGAGGGTTATCTTTTCTGATACGTAGAAATAAAGCTAGAGGTTTTTGGACTTTTGTCTCCCGGTTTGCTTTGCAAGGCAAACTCCAAGCTGTATTATACCTCAGTATTGCAGACGTTTATTTTGCATAAATTATGTTTAGCATCACTATAAAAAAAAAAAAAAAAAAAAAAAAAAAAAAAGACTGGGAATTGGTTTTATGTTGCTGGGTTTTTTTGTTTTTTTTTTTTTTGCTCTTTTTATTTTGGCTCGAGAGAGTTCTTTGGGTTAGAATGCAGCTATTGGGTTCTGCTAACTGCTTCCTGTACAGGGTGCAAAAATCAGGGCGGCACCTTGATGTCAACCAATCCGCATTATTAAGCAGGATTTATAGAGCGACAACAGTTTGCGCAGCGCTGTACATAATGAAGGCGGACATTACAGTTACATTCAGGGGCGGACTGACCATTTGGAAACTCGGGCGCTGCCCGAGGGCCCGGGGTCAGTAGGGGGCCCCATGAGATGCCCCTGGTTCCTTTTTCATAGGCTTTTTTGAGTTTGGGCAAGGACACAGTGGGCCCCATGATCCTCTATTGCCCGGGGGGCCCCATGAGTTGTCAGTCCGCCCCTGGTTACGGTACAAGAGGAAACAGAGGGCCCTGATCTTTAGAGCTTACCATCTAAGATATATATATATTGTATGTTGAAATGTGTTTTTATTACAAAAGATATGAAAAATATTTTTAAAAATACATTTTCAAATACAGTGAGGAACAGAAGTATTTGAACAGCCTGCGATTTTGCAAGTTTTGCCCACTTAGAAATCATGGAGGGGTCTTCACATTGTAGGGGCATTCCCACTCTGAGAGACAGAATTAAAAAAAAAAAAAAACAATTCAGGAAATCCCATTGTATGATTTGTAAAGAGTTTATTTGTCTCGCACTGCTGAACAGAAGGATTTGAACCCCTGAGAAACGGCAAGAATTCTGGCTCTCAAAGACCTGTCACTGTGCCTTTAAAAAGTCCACCTCTACTCCACTCATTCATCTAACTTTAGTAGCACCTGTCTGAGCTCTTTAACCCCTCGCCTACCGGGCGCTCCCGCCCCCCTTCCTGCCTACCGGGCGCTCCCGCCCCCCTTCCTGCCTACCGGGCGCTCCCGCCCCCCTTCCTGCCTACGGGCTCCCGCCCCCCTTCCTGCCTACCGGGCGCTCCCGCCCCCCCTTCCTGCCTACCGGGGCCCCCGCCCCCCCTTCCTGCCTACCGGGCGCTCCCGCCCCCCTTCCTGCCTACCGGGCGCTCCCGCCCCCCC